CTACACTGATAAATTGTTTGAACTTCGAGTCAAAGCTGATGTGCAGGTCCCAATGACATTCTTCCCCTCCCTGCTTTCCATACATTAATAAAAATCACTTAGGAGATCTTTGCTTATTGAATGTAAGAAGGTGACCAGGAAAAGCAGAAACCTTTATTTTGCTGCTGTTATAAACACAAATTCATCTTCCAGATTATCAGTTATCTTTGTTGCCTTGTTAGGAAAATTACTCAGGCATTGAACTCTACTCTCAAACCATGATTTTATTTATTACTTTTTGTGTTTGTGTAGTGAGTGGTAGGCTAAAATCAAATAGCAAATCATGTAAGGTGAAAGCTTAGGAACCCGTGTCTTTGATCTTCAGTGTTTCTAGAAGGATCAGCACTGGGTCTCCATCTCCTCTGAGCTGAGGAGGAGGAGGAGGGCAGGTAGTTCCAGGCATGTGTTAGTCACAGTGAATGTGATCCATCTCTGGTTACGCTGCCTTTGATCTCCCTCTCTTTGCACAGCCAGTCTCCGACACCAAACCTTGCCTGTCCTCCAGTAGCAAATCCCATAACTCTTTCTGGCTCCAGCATTTTGTTTCTTCAATACTTTGTCAGGATGGAAATACTAACCAAACCCTGAACTTTTAAAATCTCTCTCTTTCTAGTCCTGTGATCTCCCTCGTACGCTAATTTTGAAAATGTGCTGGCATATTAATAGAACCCTGCCCGAGGTGCGGAGCCGCTCTTTAGAAGCTCGATTTTATTTTTGATGCCTATAACAGGTGCTGGTTTAATAGGTTTGCTGTATTACAGCTTTCCTTTTTCTCTGGTGAGCCCGGCCAGATCTGTAAGCTGACACTACATGAAGGCCAGGCGTGTGACTTCTCCCTGCCTTTAGCCTGGCTTCACACTGAACATTTACGCTGCAGACTCACAGCACCCACGGCAGCCTTAACTCAAGCTTTGTCTGAACCAGGAGGTTTTGTGCTGATTGTATTTAAATCAGCCCAAGCAAAGCCCCTTGTGCATTCCTGTCTGAGGGTCTGCTTGCTTTGATTTTCCACTGTCATCTTTTGAGTGGGCAGCTGTTGTGGGGAGAGAATGTGGCTCAAACAACAAAGGAATGTGTTTGTGCTGCTCTTTGCATCCATTTCACACGAGGAGTTTGAAGCTAAGGTATAAATTAAACTCAGTGGTGTTCTCCTTGCTCACTGCAAAGAGGAAGGTGAATTCTTCCCCTATTAGGTCTGGTGGAAAATGTTTCACAGCCTGTTTATCAAATAAATATTCACAAAGACGCTTCAAATGAGGAAACGCACCGGGATTAAAGTGTAACTTTACCTCTAAAATACAAGCTGAGATTCCTGGAAATGCTGCAAGCCTTTGACTTTGCGCCACCTGTTATTTTCCTGCCACCCCCTTCAGCTCCCTCCCGACTCAGAGCGAACCCAAACACGCTTTGGCCTCGCTGGAACATTCTGCTTGTTTTTGTCAGCCCAGAGGAGCAGAGAGCACGCTTTTGTTTCCTTTCAGGGTCCTCCTGGGCTTGGTTCAGCGAGGATCTGGCTGAGGTTACTCCAAATCTCCTGTAAGCCCAAGGGGTCTGTGCAAGGGCTGAGAGGCTGCGCTGCCTCGGGGTGCTGAAGTGGGATTCAGGCAGGTTAAACTGGGGCTGGAGGGTGGATTTGCCCATCTCTCCTCTCCCTCTGTGGCTGTAGCTGGTGCTGACCCGAGGGTGAAGTTCCTGAACAAGTGCCATGGGTATGGAGTGATCAGGAGGGATCATTGCTGACTCTGAGCTACCTTGGCTTGGCACAGGGGTGTTCAGGTCTGTGTTTGCTGCAGATGAGGTGTCTCTGGGAATGACGTGCAGTATGAACTTGGATGTTCAGTTGTTTCAGCCAGATCCTCCCATATTCATAAACAAGCCTAAATGGACTTGGATGGGCTCCTTAGTACCTATGATTTCTTTTTCACTTCAGCTGCTTCCACTTCGGATTTTTAGTCCTCAGCAAAGGCTGCATCATCCTAGCTGGATAGTCCTTTTCCATGCACATTGGAAAGCCAGAGGTAGAGAGGGGTTAAGGAACTTGCCCAAGGCAGATGAGTCAGTGCCAGAGCTGGGAATAGAAACCAAGAGACTTGGCTCCCACTCCAGGCTCTAATTGCACAATCTCACATTGAAGCCCTGTCATTGTATACTCCTGAGGTAACACTGGCTGAAGTGAGGCAGGGAAAGCTTTTTCCAGGCTGTGATACCTAAGGAGTGGGGAGAGGAAAGGATACCTGGAGGTGTTGGTGGTGCAAGCACCAATTATTTGTGCTTTAACGCCTGGTTTCGGCAATTTGTGCTAAAATCTGATCTGTCACATTTGAAGCCAACCCAGTGTGAAGTGGTTGGGAAAAATCCAGCCCTTTTCCAATCAGTGATTAAGGGGAGAGGCAAATTCATAACATTACTTATATTTTTTTTTCCTGCAAAACACCCTTATGATGAACAGGGGAACAAAGGCAGGAGAGCTGAGAGGATCCAAGCAGTAACAGCAAGGGTTAAATCACATTTGGGCTCTTACCAAAAGAATGAAAAATAAATTGTAATCAAGCTAGTAAAAGGTTTGGGCTATGTTGCCTTCATATCACATGCTGTGTATGGGAGAAGTCCCAGGCTTTGTTTGAAGTGCAGTGCTTTGAGAGGGTGCAGTGCTTTGCAGCGAACTGTCTGACATTCCCCAGCTGGGACTGGCCCAGGATGGTGTTTGGAGCTGAGAGTTACATTTGGAGTCGGCCCATGTTTGAAGGAGATGGGGAGAGGGAGAGAAAGGAGCCAGTTTTTCTGCCTGTGTAAAATAATGGATCCATCTCATCTGCCAGCTGCAGCACATGAAAAGCAAGAGGCGAACAGACAGGAGTCACCTGGAAACTGCGAACACGGCTCAAACAAAACAGTTCTTTCCTGTCCTTTCCTTCCCTTCTTCGAGTCTGTCTTCTGGGACGGGTTGGGAGATCTGGCAGGCAGGCAGAGTGGATATATGTTAAGCAACCAAAGCTCAAAAACATTAATACTCCAAAAGAAAAAAAAACCAACCCAAAAAACATTGGCTTCTGAAGAGCATTTTGTGTCCAAATTCACTCTGTGCTCTCAAGTCCCTTGCAGACTTCACTGCCCTGCGTAGGGATTGTCAGGTGATTTATAGATTCTCCATGTTCGTTTGTACAAGCCTTCATTTCCTGTTAATTTACAGCCAGATTCATCTCAGCCATCCCAGCTTAGATGAGATCAGAGCTGAACTCGCAGCCCCTGCTTCAGGAGAGCTCCAGAAAATGTGCTCTTGGTTTGCTTTCAGTTATGTCTGTGTTGAGGTACTTTCCTGAATCAGGATTGGACACACATTTAAAGTTTCTGAGCCTTATGATTCTACTGATCAAGTTAATTGCAAAAAAACAAAACCCTAGTCCTAGGGGCAAAGAAATTCCCCTTGCCCATGTGTTTAGTTAACAGAGGTCACAAAATTCTGGGTATAGTGATTTTTCCTGTGTTTCAGTCTCACTATACTGTAAATTCAGTGCACCTCTGTCCTGCTAGATGTGTAAGTACTGAATTTTAATGGATATGAAAATTCAGAATGTGAATATTGAATCTTCATGGATGTGAAAATTCGGACTTTATTCCCAGCTGTAAATGAATATTGGTCATTTAGACAGCAGCCATGTCACTGTCTTTGAAACAACTGTGGTTGTGGAGACCTGTGTGCTGGTAACCCATGGAATAACCAGTTTGGAGACATAAATTATGACTTTCCTTTGATTTTTCTTGGCACCTTGTTGCATTGTATTAGCAGCACACTACTACAGTGCTGTAAAATTTGTCCTTGATGTTTTCTGAGCCTGTACTGAATTAATTATCATTTAAACTCTTCAGTTAAAGTAGTGTTTCTGTGCCTCTTCCCCCAGTGTTAAGCAAGGGCCTTGTGCTGGCTGTTTAAAGGTTGAGTCTCCCAAAAGCCAACTGTTCTAGGGTTGCAGATTTTACACTCTTCCTGTTGTGGACACCAGCAAGTGCTGTGGTGAAACAATCTGGTTTTAATAACAGGGAGAGTAAAGGAGCAGATGGCAGTGTGGGGAGCAGGTCCCCAGCCTTGTGCTGCTGGCATTTTCTGTCAAAGGGAGGAGGTTTTTGTCAAGAGGGGTTTGTGTGAGCCCCTGGGAGAGCCTGAAGTGGGGGTGAAGCTGGAGATGATGGGCTCCTAGATATCTGTAAGCTTCAGTGCCTGAAAAGCTGTGTCAGCCATCCCTCAGTTTTTTGTTTCAAAGAGCTGATGTTTTGTCAGGGGAGCTGGGGCTTGCATTCAGGGGTGCTTTCCCTGCCTGCTCTCCCCTCCTCTGCTCACCCAGTCGGGATCTGGATGGATTGAGGCACAGGACTTGTCTGAACTCTCTTTACTATCTCTTATTATTCAGCAAGTTCCCAAGTGTCTGGTGAGCGTCTGTTTGGAGAGCCTCACTTACAGCCTTGCCAGTAATATCAGTGACTGGTCTAAATTCACATCAGGCTCTGCCTCCTGTGACTAATGCACAATGTATTTTTTTAATTCATTACTGTTCTCTACTGACTCAGGCCAGAAAAGAGTCAGAGGAAAGGATTTGGTAGGGGGGTGATTTTTACTTAGACCTTGCTGAGTACAGATGAGGTCTAAAGGTATTTAACTGTTTGGTGGCTGTGGAAACCCTGAGGACTGTTGGTAGGGCTTTCTCTAATGAAAAACTTTAGATTGAATCCCTCAGGCTGTCCTGGTAAGGCAGCAATCACAGGTGATGAGTGCAGGGTCTGATCCTGCAGGTTGTGCTTGGGCAGGCACTAGCACTGCAGAGTTGTCCTAATCCTACAATGGGACAAAAATAGCAAAAGATAAGGAAATGTCTGCAAGAATATTTGCAAGCCTTCTTATTTCTTTGTGTTACAAATCATTGCAATACAGTGCAAAGCTGGGAATTTTCAGAAGAATCCTTGGGAGCTGAGAACATTATGTAACTTTTATTGAGTTTGTATTTACTTATTTGTTTCTTTCTCTGAAAGTCACATTCTCTGGATCAAGCCTTGGCAGGCTGGCTCAGCCACTGATCTGCACTCCTTGCCTTTGGGATTCAAATCCAGCCCTGTAGTCCTTGCACGTAACAAATCCAGTTTGGAAGTGCAGGCTTGTAGGAGAGCCCAGATTAATGGAAGAAAAACTGATGAGTGGAGTCAATAGCTCTGTAGAAGAAAAAAAAGTGTCTGGAAGCCTACAGATACCTGTGAGCTGTTCCCCAGCCAGAGGAGCAGCAAGGGGATTAGGGAATGTCTCTCTGGAATGGGCTTCTCCTTGAACAGCTGCTGAAAAGTCACCATAACTGAGCGTACAAACTCAGGGCCAGCCTGGGGGCCTGCTGCAGCCTCGGATATGCTTTCTGTTTTTCTAGGAGAACTAAACAGTCTCTTTTTCTCCTCCTGCCTGTTGCAGGCATCACAACAGGATCCGCAGCATTGAAGGCAGTCAGCTGCAGCCCTACGTTACCCTGGAAACGTTGGACCTGAGCTTCAATGACATCACGGAAATCCGAAACGGCTGCTTTCCACAGGGACTGCACATAAAGGAGCTGTGAGTTTGGCTTCTTGGGAACTGCTTTTGTTGAGTTACCACAGCAGAGAAAAGGGCCTCAAACCTTTAAAAAAAGAAGTAATGACCATAAGAAGTATAGGATTATTTGTCAGGATTTTAAGTGCAAAGGAGAGTTAGAAGGAGCACATTGTCACTTTTGTCAGGTTATTTTTTGAGTGCTGTCTGGTTTCTGATGTAGCTATAAAGAATGCAGATTATTATTACTTGTGTTGCAGAGAGAAGGTTTCTTTCAGGTATCCTACATTCTTCCTGTGTAGGTGTCTTTACAACTGCAAACCCATGTGCATCTAAAAGAGCGGAGAGAGAACAATTATTTCATCATTAAAGTGCCTTTCTGAATATTGAGAACAAAAATGTCTCTGATTATTTGAAGAAAATGGGGTCAAGCAGAGTAACACCATCCCAACAGCATATTTGCCTATTCAGAGAAACATGAAACAGTTTGTACTTTAGGTACCTTTGAAGAGGTGCAGGCAAATAGTCTGCCTGCATTAAAGTTTACACCAAAGTTTGTGTTCCTTGTTGTAAGAGCGTGTAAGAGAGTGGTGTTGTGACTGATAATTGCCTGTTGTCCTGCAGAAACAGCCCCCTGTGGCTGACTGGGATCCAAGTAAGAAAGACCTCTGGGACAGATACTGAGGGAAAAATGGGGAATGAATAGCATCATCCTGCACTGGAATAGTCTCCAGTTTCTGGCTTCCCTTCCTGATTGCCTTGTTCAAGTAGGAGGATGTCAGGGAGCTCTTTGGAAGTGCCCAGCAATTCTCCACATTCATCACAGGCTCTGGGAAGGGCCCTGTGCCCTTTGTGAGCCAGAAATTCAGCTGGTTTGAAGCCATCTCCATAGCTTCACCAGCTTGTCTGCAGACCAAGTAAATGCTGATAAAAGGTGATTTCTGACAGAACTGTTCATTTTTCTGCTGTGATTTATTGCAGCTACCTGGGGAGCAACAGAATCAGCACCCTGGAGCCTGGTGCTTTTGATAGCCTGTCACGGTCCCTGCTAACACTTCGTCTGAGTAAAAACAGGATCACTCAGCTTCCTGTCAAGGCTTTCAGGCTGCCCAGGCTAATGCAACTGTGAGTACAAATGTCCACTTTAATTAAGCTCAGCCACACTTTATGGCTAAAATGACCCTGGGGGTGTGCATGTCACCAAATGTCACCCCTCCTCACCTACTATCTATAAAATGTAGACTCCACTATTCAGGAGTCCTCTGCCACCTCCAAGGAAGACACACTGGGAGATAGTCCTTTTTGTCTTGTAACTCTTGGCTTTTCAGACTATTATTTGGATCAGGTGGGGAGAGAGGGATGCTGTAACAGACATCAGCATCTTTTGCACTTGACAGAGTGAGACAAATCCATTCCCTCACAAGCTGCTGGTGTCTGGTGCAAGAGAGGTTTGCAAGATGTTTCTATTGAGTGACAGAACTCAGCTGCCATGTTAGTTTTTCAAGGCCACACAGGTATCTTTATGTGGCAATAAAAAGCAGGGAGGGAAGGCTGTTAAACTGTGAGGTAATATTTGGGCAGAGAAAACTGCAGTTCAGATGAGTTAACATGCACATGGTTGTTGTTCTGCCTGCAAGGGAACACAGCAGCTAGAAATATGCTTTACATGTAAAAATAAAACACTAATGGTTGAGCTTTTTCCTTCTGCTGCAGTTAGAAAAATGGGCCCAGCCTAAGGCTTCTTTCAGTCTTTCCATCAAATTTGATAGGCAAAAGGTTCACCTCTGTTAACATAAGGTTCACAAATGCTGTTGGAACTTGCACCTCCAAGTGTCAGCCTCTTGACTGAGAGACAAATCCTCAAGCCAGGGTGTGCCCAAGGAGTGTGTGTGCATTTGTGTCTGCATACATGCAGAATTTATAGCCAGGTTTGATGGGATAGGGGGACACATTCGCATATACATCTGAAAAGTCTGTTGCCTCTCAGTTGGAAGTTGCTGTCCATTGAGTGAGGGCTTCTAATTCACTGTGTTTGACTGCATCATGTGTAGAACCATAATGAAAACAACTCCATCTGTTTAGGAACACAGTTTGCACTGAGAGATGGAGTAATTGGTACTCTTAATGACAGCCTCAGAGCTGGTTGTTTAACTCTACAGATAAACATGAATGAATTGCAAGTTATCCAGACTGGTGTGTTGTAGAATTTGTGTACAGTTCTTTTTCTGGCAAAGCCTGTTTCACTAATAGCCCAGGAAGTGCAGTGCAGCAAGGGACTTCAGGCCTGCAAAATCTTTATTGCTTACTTGACTTTAATCATGCTCAACTTGAGTACAAGTTCAAGATTGTTTTTTTAGGCAGTTGAAAAGTAAGCTTAAAGTCTCTATGGCTTCTTCATCTTTTCCAAAACAAGTTCAGATGTTGTAACCACCATTTTCCTCAGCACAAACAATGAATAGGGAACTATCCTTTGCTTAGTCTTTATATGTGTGGAAAAGTATCAGTTTTAAAAGCTCTAAGTTTATCTTTTAGTGCAATGTGTTGAAGTTTTCCGTGGACTTTACAGAACAGGATTTTCAGCTGGCTTGTCTGGGTGAAGCAATCCATAAGACTGATATAGGTTGCCATAGAGTGCTGTGGTGATGTTCATATTGCTATTCAGAAAAAAAGATATTGCTAAAATTTAGGGATCCTTCCCCACCTGAGGAAACTAAAAAGAAATTTAATGAACCAGGCTGGAAACCTTTGTATACATGAATACTACGACTGCATTACTATTGGAAAAAACTTCTTTCACTCTTTATTAGTTTCTGATAGTAGGGAAAAAAAAAAGAAAAAGTGGCATTTGTCAGGGTAACTGAAAGCTTTCCTTTCAGACTTGGCCATAAAGTTTCCTCTTGGGCCCACACTTTTGGGGCACCTGCATGTTTCAGAGCACATTTTTACTGGGCAATTACAAGTCCTGTAAAAACAATGGATTGTAAGGGAAATAGTGCCCACGTTTGACTGTACTGGTTCACATGGTGTCTGCGCTTGAGGGAGAATGGAGTGTGAAAATTGATGAGAAGGATCAGTGGTTTAAAATAAATGCAGAGAGAGGAGGGATGAAGAGGAATTGCTGCACTCTGTTATTTCTCTGTAGTGAAAGTCTGTCCTGGGTTGAGTTTGTTTAAGGCAGCACCCAGCTGCCTTCCCTGGACAGCTCTGGGATTGAAAGTTTCCGGTGCTGTTCTGCTGTCTCCTGGGAAGCACTGACAGAGGGGTTGTTGGCACTGCTGCCCCCATTGTGTGCTGCACAGATGACTTGGTGAGAAAGGACTGGGGCTTAATAAACTTCGTATGGCCTTGGTGATTTTAGGGAGCTGAACCGAAATCGCATCCGCCTGATTGAAGGCCTGACGTTCCAGGGACTGGACAGCTTGGAAGTCCTGAAACTCCAGCGCAACAACATCAGCAAACTGACTGATGGGGCCTTCTGGGGTCTAGCCAAAATGCAAGTTCTGTAAGTTGGAGAAATGGGCTCTTTTTCCTTAAACAGCCTCAACTGCTGTGACATCCTTCTCTCTATTTTAGCAGAGACCTGTGGGTACCTGTGCCACCTCCTGTGCTTCTTTCTTTGTCCTGCATGCCCAGAGCTGCTGCAGCAGCTTCTGTTTAGCTCAAAGTTTATAAAAGCTCACTGCTTCAACAGGTATTCAATAAAAACAGCACTGTTTTTTAAGCTGTGGCACTATTCCTTTGAAAGTTTGACAGTTTGAGCGTTCAGCATTTATCTCAATTGGTCTTTAAATATTTGACTTCTGCAAATTTATTTTGACTGATAGATGGAAACTCTATCTATTGATGCAGACAATATTATTCCACTTCATGGGATACCTAGAAACCGAGCTGGCCATTCTTGGTGATGTTCTCTTTCCATACCAGAGAATAAATTGATTACTTATTGCAGAGAAATACCTGAACAACACACTTGGCTTCCAGGTGTGTTTGTGAGGTCCCAGGTGATGAAGGCAGCACGTTTCTGGGTGCTGCTGTCACACAGCTGGGACTCTGCAAATACAAACTTGAATGGGATGCTTTAAGCCCAGTTTACTTGCAGTGGAGAGTCACATCTCCTCCTGGGCACTTCCTTTGTGTTGTGCTTGAATTTCTGTCTTTGTTTGGTAAGAAATGCCCATGTGTCCCCATGGCTATGTAGAAAAGTGTCTAGGAATGACTAAAATACCAGTTCTTTTTGGAAATTCTTTCAGCATTTGACCATTGCTGCTGATCTGTCAATTCCTTCTGATTTTTCTCCACAGCCACCTGGAATATAACAGCCTGACAGAAGTGAACAGTGGCTCTCTCTATGGCCTTTCTTCTCTGCACCAGCTTCACCTCAGCAATAACTCCATATCCCGCATCAACCCTGATGGCTGGAGCTTCTGCCAGAAGCTGCATGAGCTGTAAGTTGGTTTCTGTTGTGTTGTGTCATGTTGGCAGGAGACAGAGGAGTCAGGAATTTTCTCAAGGCTTACAGCTTCCACTGTATCAACCTGTAGAAAAGCAGGAACTGCAGGCTCCTGAGTGATGCCCTTGTTATTTATGATGTTATGGCCTTCAGAGCACCTGGTTAAAACATTTGCACCAGAAACAAAGGCTGGAACCCACTAAAAGTGCACAGTGCCAGAAGACCTGGAGAGTTTGTGAGCTGTGGCTGGCTAACATTTTTAGCTAGTGAGTTACAAGACTTGTAACTTGCCATGTAATAACTGCACAGCCTGAAGGAAGCTTTGCTTTATCCTCTGTATTTACAAAGAACAATCGTGCTTTCAACCAGCAGAGATTTGGTCTTTTAAAGGTAGTTCCCCTTGTTTCTCCTGTTTACAGTTTATCCTTCCTGTAGGGTTCAGTTGTTGAAAGGTAAACACATTGGCTTCGCTGTCCTGAGGTTTCCAGCTGGGAATACAGCCTGACAAATGAAGGAAAGCCTTGCTGCTGAGGGCAGCTCCACAAGGGTGTCTTTTGGGTCCATGGCACTGCTTTAATGCCTTTTTGAAGACACTCACAGGGGTGCTTGCAGTATTTACAGAAGTAGGTGCCATTCCCTCGGTGGGACTGTGGGAAACTTCACTTTTTTCATTGGCAAAACTTGACACGTCATCAGTGGAACTGGAATTCATTCTGCTTGGTGCAGGGAAGTGTTAAACATTGTTAGGGATTCTCCTATGCACCTAAAAGCAGTATGGTAAAGCAGCTTCCTGCTGCCAGAGGCCTCACTCTGCTCTCACCCTAGAGGTTGGTGTCTGCCCAACCAGCTGTGAGTCCTGAAACCTTTGGCCTGTGGGATTCAGAGATGGGTAGACATGACACATGTAATTTATTTATCTTTAGAATTAACATGCTAGCCCTGTGATCTTCTGTTGAATCCAAGTTATTTGTTCAGATGTTGGTTATTTTTTGGGGGCACAAGGAAGTACTTTATTTTTGGTTTTAGTTAAATACACACATGATTGTTTAATTACCTAATTTTTCAAATTGCTGCAGAACTGCCCATGTCTGGCACAGTTCTGTGGGCAGCTGCAGCTCCTTCATGTGTAGGTCCTCACATGATATTTTGCTAGATGAAGGCAGTGTTAATGGAGAGATCTTCAAGGCAGCAGATCAGAACTGGAACTGTGCTCTGCCTCTGGTCTTTAAATCTGAAGCATCAAAAAAAGGGGAACCTGCCTTGCCAAGGCACTCAGAGTGCTGAATCCTTGGAACAGCCAAATGCAGATCACTGCACAGCTCTGAGAGCTTTCTGCTCTCAGCACCAAACATCTGGTGCCTGTGCTGAGCTTTGTTTCAGCCTGGGTTGTTTGGGATGGGTAAGGCCCATCTTCAGCTCACAGGGCTGATGTCAGAACTCTTTCAGGGAGAGCTGAGCTTGTCTTCTCCACATGACACTGTCTTGCAAACCCTCAAGTTTAGGTTGGAGGTTGCTTGTCATGCTGAGTCCTTTTTCTCAGGTAAGGATTAGGATCTCACCCAACAAGCAGTTCTAACAGTGAGCTGTGCTGCCTTAGAAGCAGCAATTGCAGAAACTCAGGGGCAGGAGTCATGCTGGTGCAGGATGGGGTAGATTTGGAAAATGCCCAGTGGTGTGAGGTGGTGTGAGGCACTGGGGCGTGCCTGGCCTGACAGGCAGGATTGTGCTGTAAGGCCAGAGACAGTCAGTGATGGGAAAGGCGATCCTGTGGGTGTTAGCACATCCCTGCAGAGTACTACAAGCTCTTTCAGGTGCTGCCTTTAGGGTAAGGCTGCTGCAGGGAGCCATCAGATCTCCAAACTGAAACTCCCACAGCCAGAGAGTACCTGTAGGAGAGGTCTGTGCTGAAATTCAAGGGTGAGGAAAGGAAGCCATAGATACATCTAGACTGACTTAGGAGCTTTGTTAATTGTGTGTATTTCATTCCTGATTGAAAGATCCTTGCCCACCTCCACTGTTGCTAAATCTTCTGGGTTTCAGTTACCTGAAAACACTGTGGTTGTACAGGGAGGGAATGGATTTCAAAGTTTTCTAATGAGGGAGTTGGTCATCTGAAGGAGGAGTTATCTCTCATTCGGCTGCTGGGACAAAACGTGACCCCCAAGTCTCTGGTCTGATGTAAAAGCTGACAAGGAAAGAAAGCTCTTGCCTTGTTGTGAGCATGAGAAAGGGCTGATTGTATTCACCAGTCAGGTGCTAGGACATCATGGAAAAACCCATAGTGGGAGCACGGGATTTCATCAGAGGTAAATGGTGGCTTGGCTGCTGGGTCTTTCCCTTTTTAAGTATGTTAGATGTACCTGGTCCAGAGCAGGCTGGCAGCAGCAGCTCCAGTTGCACAACAGGGTTCTGGTTAACCCTTTTCTGTACAAATTTTGGCATGGAGCTCAAAATCTCCTACTTCCTGCCAGGCTAGAAGGGCTGTGCAGACAAATGTTGCCATGTATTCATTCCAGTGATTTCTCACTAGTAGAGAGGATGCCAGGGTCAAGGAAGCAGCAGAGATCTCTTGGCTTCTCTCAACCAGATAATCCACACTGCTGAGCTGAGGGGGAAACCTGATGTTTTGCCAATTGGCCTGTCCTGTTACCAGGTGCCATGGCTCCTGAAGCCTTCCATGTGGGACCCCACTGAGAGCCTCCATGTCCTGCTGCTGTCTGTCCATCTTGGGGTGACATCCATGCAAACAGAGGCAACATGCCTTCACCAGTTGTGGCAGGAACTCTTATGTGTGGAATCAAAAGGAACTATTTATTTTCTCAGCCAGGTTTAGGATTACTTTTGAAAAAAAAAATTTCTTTTAAAGCCAAATTCTTTAATAGCAGGTGAGGACATAATTTTGATCAGATGCCAATTCTTCCTAACTAACACTATAGCTTCTTTAGGAATGAAAGTATGTTGTCCCATACCTTCAAACTCATTAATCTTTGCTGAATTTTTTCCACAGCTTGCCCTCTGCCCACTAGCTGAAAGATAGCACCTTTGCCAAGTAAATTACTTTGGAGTATATGTCTGTTTGGACTTAGGTTTTGGCTTTGCAGTGAATTTCATGCAAGCCCTAGACACATTTTTAAGCAGACTCATTAACAGGCAGTACTAGAAGAGGAATGTGGAGGTTTGGAACTCAGTGAAATTTTTTTTCTTGTCTGTACAGTGGAGGATTTCAAGCTTCTTCAAAGCTGTCACTTTCTCAAAAGTTGAGCAGCCCAAACCCTTACATCTTTTGAAGTGAGTTGAACTCCCAGGTCACTTAAGAAGGTGGTTTCGAAAATCTGGTGCCTGCTGCTGCTCTGAGAGGTCCCTCATTTGACAATCCAAGCTGGCCTTCCAGAGCAGGGCTTTATTCTGGATAGAAGGTGGTTGCACAGTGTGTGAGGTAGCTTCCCAAGGCCTGCCCTCTGTGTCAAAACTCCATCTTGCACCTCGCTGGGAGAGAAAAGCAGCTGCCTTCCTGCCAACTTCCAAACTGCAACAGGAGCAGTGCTTAAAACAAAAATCTCCCAGACCAGAGATAATACAGGCAAAGGGAAGAGATAGATGGAAAACTAAGAAAAAAAACAACCCTCCAACAGTCTCTTGTAAGTGGAGAGGATTTAAGGCAAACTATGCTCCTTGACAAAGGGGAGTGGGAGGAAGGAAAGGTGGCTGGTTTACAACAGACACCTCCTTTCTGTGCGTGAAAGGAAGCATTCAATTGCCTTGTGGTGAAATGCTTTTGGCTCTGGACTGGGGTGGAGCAGAGGCACCCACACCCAGAGCCTGGGGCTGGCTGTGCACAAGTGCAGAATGATAAGACAGCTCCTGAGCACAGCAGCCTGGACGCTGCCAAGAGCGTGTGTGAACTCCGAAATCCATCCGTGTGACATCACTCTGCACCTCGCAGGGAACAGGGGCTGCTTCTCCCTGTGAGCCTGGGAGGGAGGCCAGATGGCAGTGAGGATTGAACACAGCCTTCTGAGCTCTGCCTGTACCTGTGGGACACAGGGGTGCTGCTCCCAGACCCTCACCCAGCTGCGTGGGAGCAGGAGCAGCTCTCCCTGCCGTAGCTGACAGAGTGTGTGTGTGTGTGTTGGGTTCAGTCACTTCTGGGCAGCCACTCTCTGTAGCACAGAGAATTTCCCCACAGCTGGGTACCAGCTGCCTCCTGCTCCCTTGGTGTCACCCAGCTTCCCCATGGGTGGTGTCTCCTGGCAATAACTGCAGGCTGCAATCTCATTTCCTAATCCAGTTGTTACACATCCATGCATACATCACCTCCTGTCAGGTGGTTGTGGGAGGCAAGCACTGGTTGGCAGAGGGGAGTTTGGAAAATACCAGGTGGGTTGACAAGAGCTGTTGTTACATTTTTTCCCCTCAGGATTCTCTCTTACAACAACCTGACAAGGCTGGACGAGGGAAGCCTGGCAGACCTCGGGGGACTGCACGTGCTACGGCTGAGCCACAATTCCATCAATCATATTGCAGAAGGTGCTTTCAGGGGACTCAAAAACCTACGTGTCCTGTAAGTTGCTCTCAGCTTTTGTCAGACCCCACCCATATTCCCTCCAAAGTTTGTGCTCTGCAGGTGGTTCTGTTTGAAGATGCTTTGGGTGCCCATGTCTGGCAGTTTCAGGTTCCTGAAGCCACCTCAGCTGACCAAAAATCCCTAAGGTCTCATTCCTGCAGCTAATAGCAGTATTTCTCTTGCTATCATATTGACTTTAATTGCAAATCTTAGAAATGCTTTGTTTCTTTTGGGTCACTCTGCACTCAGAATGAGCAGGGAATGATTCCTTCCACTGACAACACTGAAAATTTGAATATCCTCTTAGATGTGCTATTGAGCACTTCTGTGTTGTTGGTTTTGGTTTTTTTTAACTGAATGTTAAATATAAAATTATAGGCTAAGATGATGTCAAGAAAAAACAATGGGAAAACAAAAAAATGTAGAGGTTTGGCTTAGGATCTGACTGTACCAGAAGTGTAACAACACAAAACTTCACCCAGCCTTCAGTCCAGGCACAGAAATAAGAAGCTTTTGCAGGTACCATGCAAGTAACCAGAAGTCTTTCTCTTTAATGCCCATGAAACATTCTGTGCTCTGATTTTCATGGTAAATCCTGAAACACCAGAAAGTTGCCAAGGGCAAAGTTTCACGAGCCCCTAGTACTGAATTGCAAAAATGATTCACCCAGTGCTGGCTGTGGCCATTTACCACAGACTTTTATTCTAAAACCACTGACGCAATATAATACCTGGAAATGTGATAGTCCAAATTTGCCTGGTCCAAATACCAACTTGTAAGGTTTCAGCAGCAGTAGAGCCCATTAGACAGATCAGTGTGACCCCTGTGGGATGCAGTTGTAGCATTGCTCCATTATACACTGTTGAGAGCTGTTTTAAACTGAAGTCCATCTGGGCTTGTCTTATGAACATCAGGAGATGGGGAATCCAGTTCCATTCCTGCTGCTGAGTTGTCTCTGTCTCCTTACTGGAACCTGCAGGGCTGCTGGCTGTTCTCTCTCTGGGAGCTGCAGGCTCAGCACCTTCATCTGGCACACCACAAAATTCTCACAGGCCTTGTGACAGCACCAGATTTGTTCCCAGACTGGTTGGGTTCAGCAAACTGATTTAATTCTTCCTTCAAAAGAAAAAAAAAATCACACTTTGATACTTTTATGCCTCTTCAGAAGCCCATTGTGGCCTGGGTCATTAAAAGGAAATGGGAACAGAAAAATCTGCCTTTACAGTACTTTTTGCATCTTACTCTTTTCTTTATTGAAGTTCATAGTGAAGGAAGTGACTGGAAAGTGAGTTTGGGTTTTGTTTGCTTTTTTTAAACTTCAGCCAAAGCCTTTCAGCCACTGGGCTTTCAGAAAGGGACCTCTCTGAGGCAGCTGTCAAGACCGGAACTAAAGGTTTCCAAAGAAAAATGGAGGGGAAGGGAAGCTGGTCCTTCTCTTTGCTCTGCACTGAATGTGGAGCCTCTTTTATGTCCAGGGCAGAGGGGGGAGGCAGAGAGGGAGTGTGTGAGCGAGCTCTAATTTAATAAAGAGAAAGGCCTATTGGGTCCTGCACCTGGTGAAAAAGAGCTGAGCATGCTTTAATTATGGGCTATTGTTGGGGAGCCTTTGGTGGGTGTGAAACTGCTGAAATGTGGAGCTATTCAAATAGAGGTCAGGCCCGGAGACCTCTGAGCACAATGATTAACAAGGCTTCGAGCATTCAAGCTCAGCCAGCCAGAAAGAATAGGAAATTGGCAACAGGGGCTGGGAGAGGAGTTGGAATACAAAGAGAGCTGGGCCAAAATACCCCACTCTTTTTTTTTTTTCCTCCCTCTCTCTATTTTCACTCATTTGTTAAAAAGGTTTTTATTCCTCCTTTCTAACACTAAACCTTTGAGTTGCCACTGGATGAACAAGCAATACCATTTTCTTTCCCTTTTTCAAGAAAACACAATGTGTGGCAGTCAATTAATAAAAGTGTGTGTCAGAGCTCCTACAGGCTGTTCCCACTTGTCAGTCTCTGCCATGGGAAAGGGCTTGCTGCTCCAAAGACCAGTAGCCCGTGGTGAAACTGAAGAGGAGAATGTCTGAGAAGGGATTTTCCCTTAAAAAGCAAACAGAACAAGGGACCTTGGCTTGGCAACTGTAAAGAAGATGTAGAAACTGAGATCCAGGAGGGTTTATTTGCTCCTGTCCCACTAGGATAGTGCTGGAAATGCCAGCAGATCAAAGCATTCTCCTGGACTCGTCTCTTTGGGCACCACAGCATTATGTGCACCCACACCCCACGGGGATGCTGAGATTTTGTCCATGCCTTTGGCACAGAGCAGCCCACAGAGATCACCCTGACATCCACAGCGATGCTGGCTAAGGCCAGGGATGTGAGATTCAGGTCCCAGGCTTAAGCCAGCTGAGAAACAGGAATTGTGGCTTTTGGCCATCTCCCTTCACATCTTTAGCTCACCCTAAAGCAGAGAAAGGAGCAAAGACTGAGGCAGCTGCGGGAAAACCATTTCCATATTGAAACTGGGGCTTTCTTTTAACTGTGTTTTCCCTTCCTGTGAGTTACTGTGTATTTGTGCTGCCCAGAAGCCACACTGTGATGCCCATATCTGGAGTGTTGGAAAATGCAGGGGGACTTGGTTTTTCTTTCTTTGGTCTTAATATTTTTTTATCTGGAAACCTTCAGATAATCATCTTCAAAAGGTGCGAAAGGAGTACCTGAGGGCTCAGGGGTTATCTGGATGGTGAAGTTTGCTTTGGTGTTGTGTTTTGCCAGGTTTTAAATCAGAGTGATGTAACAAAACCAACAAAGCCCTATTTAGTTTTTCTTTAACATTGGAAATGATGAATTTCTGTCTGTGTTGCTGGGTATTCATTGCTAGCTGGATTTAAAAGCTGGGAGGGAAGGATTTTTAAACAGACTGTTTAAACAGCTTTTGTGGATCTCTGTGTTTGTTCTGTGTGCTTGTTTTTCTTCAGACCTCTTTGACTCTTGTAATTGATGGTCAATTTGAAAGCCAAAAGAAGCTAACTCTGAAAAAGGAATTCTCTTGTTTTTTTTTCAAATGATTATACAGAGTTAGGCTGGTGTAGTGATGCTGGCGCTTTCCTTTGTTGAGTTTTCAAGTTCATTGCCAGAAAAAATGCAGCTTTGTAGAAAATACACCAAATCATCTTCCTAAGATTCAGCTATAGACAAATACATGCATACACTGGAATACCCAAAGTGATCTTATTTCATGGCAGCAGCATTTAAGGACAGCTGTTTCTTTCAGTTTAATTTTGGCACTTCATTTTAATTTTTCTCCTTCTCCTACTTGGTAAAAAGAAGCTGTCTGGGAGGGTTTCAGCTAGGAACAAGCCAGAGCTCTTTCTGGAATGCACCATCCCACCACGTGTCAGTGCAGGAGAAGTGACTGGTGCTGCTTTGCTGCAGGACTCTGCATTTTCTGATAACTGTCAGGAGAAAATGAGAACCTCTCATGTGGCACTCTCCAGCTTCCTCCACTTGTTTGTAACAGTGACACTGGGACTAAGGTGCTGATTCTGAGCTCTCTCTTGTCCTCCCCCCAGGGAACTGGACCACAACGACATCTCAGGCACAATAGAAGATACCAATGGAGCCTTTACAGGCTTGGAAAACCTGAGCAAGCTGTGAGTATCCCTGGGCTTGAACTCTGCAAGCCAGTTTTGTTGTGTGCCTGTGTGGGGCTGGGTCTGTCCCTTTTTATGCAGCCTCCCTTACCTTGAAACAAGACAAAAATCAAGAGAAAATCTGAGTTGTAACAGTTTTGCAGGTTCACTGCAAGAGCACAAGTCTGGTTTTCAAGCACTGATGTTTTTAAGCAGGTATGAGGCAATTATTTCCTTTCTAAATGGTGAACAGACAGTACCACATACTGCAGTTCAGACACAGAGAGAAATTTAAGCTGTTTTCATGTATAAAATTCAGCACAACCATTCCTCACTTCTAAAAGCAAACAACAAAAATGACCCCTTGCAGTCTTCAGCGAGGCACTGATTGATGCAGCAAATAACAATAAACAGAGAGAAAAATCACTCCACTTCCTGTTACAACAGAGGATTGAAACAGGATTCGTTTCTGTGGGATACTCTTTCTGAGAGTGATCTTTCGGGCTCAGTTCCATGTGCAGTGACAATAAAAGGCACCATGGGGCACAGGCTCTTGAAGAGATAAAAAGAAACCCAAGGCAAGCATGCGCCTTGCAAATGTTTATGGCTTGTCTGGCCTTCGCAAGGATTTTCACATTGCTCCGTACAAGCCCCTGTTCCATTTGAAATGGGTGATATAAATCAGCCCTGTCAGAGGAGTCTCTGATGGCTTGTGACAAATCAAGAGTCTCTAATCATTACCTCTTGCCTTTGTTGAAGTTCTCAGCACCCCCCATGCCGCTGTCTGTGATGCTGGGATGGCACAGCCAGAGGTGCAGTAAAAGCACCTCGATGGAGAGCAGATGGCTGGGATGGATCCTGGCAGGCGGGATATTGTCACGCTCTCATTAGAGACTCCTCGGGGAGTGGGATGAGCCATGGCAGGGTCTGTGGAGATGGGAGTGCTCAGAGGGGAAAAATCTGAAATCACAGAGGTGGCATTTGATGGTTGCTGAGGGGAGTCACTGGGTCCATGTGGAGGGGACCAAGTTGCAGCTGCAAGTAAAATGGGACAGAAGGCAGAGGAGGATTTAAGGACAGGGGGAGCCAGACAGAGAAGCAGAAGTGTGGGAGTGAGAGAGAAGTCAGTAAGAATTGCTGTGCATGCAGAGTCAGGGTATCTTCCCATGACTGCCAGAAAAAAGGCAGAGGAGCAGATGTGGTGGGTAGAAGAGTCCTTGGCTGCCTGAGTGTTTGGTTTGTCTGAAGAACCCAGTGAGACCATGTGAGCAGCTGGAAGGGTGATGGGAGCAGAGACTCTGCCCAGTGGGATTTGCAGGCTGTAGGGATTATGAGTCTGTAATGCTGCTTTGACAAGGGAGAGAAGGTGGTGGAAAGGAGCAGAGAGAGCTGTCCTGGTGGTACATCCACTGCTGGTGGTACATCCCTCCAAAACGGGCACAGGAGAAAAAGTAGTGATCCCAAGTGATTAGGGTATGTTAGAAATGCTGGGTGCAGGTAACAGGAGAGTGGTGAAAAAACCCAGAGGAGACAGCAAGGAAGGAAAGAGTTCAGCAAAAGGACTGACTTGTAAAGCAGGAGCAGGGAGCCCTGAGGAGCTGTGGGGGTCAGGCAGAGGCCAGGAGGAACAGCAAGGAGCGGGAGGAGGAAGGAAGAGGGAGCAGGGGCAGCCTGTGGGGTTATGTGCTGGAGCTCTGGGCAGAGCAGCTATTGCTGTCCCCTGTGAAATGCCTGATGAGATGTTTGTCACCAAGCACAAGGAATACCTCCAAAAGATTGCTGGTTTGAGCTGCTGGTACACAAAGATGCACTATGGGCTTGTGCAAGTCTAAGGAAGCTTGGTTTATATCTTTCTTCCTTTGTTGAGTGATGCCTGTCATTGCACATGGACTCAGGCCAGCTCTGAGTCTGGCTGAGGGACATGTGCAGGGAAGGTTTGTGCAGGGAATTGCAGCACATTTCATAGCCTGGAAAAGCATGAGGATCAGGTTGGTTTGGGGCAGACAGGAGTGGTTTGATTACTTAACAGAAGTGAACTGCTGTGGGACAGACAGCTTGCTTGTCACCCAGTGTGTAAGGCTAAAAAACACTCAGAAAATGAAATTATTATTATTATTATTCCTTGAGGCATTTTGAGAATACTTTTGAGTGGTCACTTTTAAAGGCATCTCCTCAGAACTATTTTAGCTTATCAGCACATAAATCCCAAACTAGTGATTTCTAGGGCTGAAGTGAGTACCAGGATATTTTTGTAAATAAAAGATCAGCCCTTAACAGCAAACATTTCACTGGGTGATTTAGTGTTTAAACCGTCAACCACTTTAAATGCATTAGCATACAAAAAATAAATGGGCACTTCAGAGGAGACCTTCCAATGAATTAATAATCACCTCAGCTCTGTGGAGATTGCCTTAAAAGCCATTCCCCTTTGATCTGGCACAGATTAGCCTCTGAAAGGATTTAGCACAGAGAGGGTTGTTCGCTGACATGAAGGTGTTAAACAGAGATGGAGAGGCCAGTCACTTTAGCCTTCTCTGAATTATATATGAAGCTCTCCAGGATGGAGAGCACAGGCCTAAATTAAAATGTTGCTTGAAGAAAGAGGGAGTCGAGAAGCACTGAAGCATAAAAAGCACCGGTGGAATCGCTGCAGAGCAAGGAGGTTCCTAATTATTCAAGCTGCTGAATGTAACTGGCTTTTTGATGGCTCACTCAGCAAGATCTTCCTGCAGGTGTAAACTGGCTGGAGGAGAAAACACTGCAGTGAATTGTGTGCCACAATTACACTGGTGCAGTCTCCAGGAGAGCTTGTGCTTGGCTCTGCCCTGTGGAGGAGGTTTTGGCCAGCAGTGGAATGGCTGATTGTGGCTGTGTTCTGCTGCCTTCACATTCCAGCCTTCCACAGCCCTTTGATGGGGGCTGCTAGGTACAAACTCTCAGATTTGTAGGGGCACTTAATTGAAATTAGTTGCAAGGAGTAATTATTAATGAGTTTGCTGAGGCCTGACTTGTCATGTGTGTTAGGTGTTTCTCATGTCCAGGCATCAAGCTTTGTGCACCTACATGAGTGGTGTAGCTGTGTATTCCCTTCCCAGATGTACTGTACTCTGCACAGATAACTAAACAGATATCAGCACTATCTCCAATTTTCAAAGTCCAGAATCCACTGAACTATATTAGAAATCTGCAGCTATCAAACCCAAGCTCAACTTAATTTTTTCAACAGCAGTATCCCATTTAACTTCCATTAGAATTGTAAATCTTTAGGATCATCAAATCCAACCATTAACCTAGCACCATCACCATATTCATCACTAAAACCATGTCCTGGAGTGCCACATCCACAAGATTTTTGAACACTTCCAAGGATGGTGACTCTGACACTTCCCTGGGAAGCCTGTTCAATGCTTACAACACTCTCTCTGAAGAAATTTTTCTTAAAATCTAGTCTAAACCTCCCCTGGCACAGCTTGAGGCCATTTCCTTTAGTCCTTATTTTATCCTTATCTTGTCCTTATAACACACTTATTTAGGAATACGGCTCCAGAAATCAGTGTGTATGGATGCAGCCATTTGAGCAGAGTTTACATATAGTAAATTATTTACTGTATTAATCATTCTAATGGATTTTTCAAAGCCTTCATTAATGCAACATCCCTTTTACCAAATGATGGCACACATGATTGCACACATCCTTTGGAGCTGGGGGTATTTGAAACTGGGAGCCAGTATATAACCAAATTATCCTGACATTTGGAAAGTGCTTTGTGGAAAGCCTTGACAAGTTCTTGGGAATGTATTTGCTCATGGAATGGCTGCACATGTTCCATCTTGTACTCCTCTCCTTTCCCTGGACAGTAAGCAAGCAGTGGGACCATCATAGTTGTCTTTTTGGGGTGCACATACAGGTCACACCCTATGCTGAAGGACAGCTCTTGAATGAAAACTCAAAATCAAATGCAGCACCAGATGTGCCTTTTTTTCACCTGAGCTGTGGGTGATGACTTGCCCTGGACACCACGTGGTGATAACAGCTGCACCTGGAGGATAAACCTTAGAGGGAGCCTGGGGAAGGAAAGCAGCTCCTAATTAATGACACTGGTTGATGTTTTATTAAAACAGGTGGAGAGACTGTCCATTTGGCATGAACCCTGGCCCTGGCCATTAGCACTGGTCAATATTTATGGAGAACTGTTGCTCTGGAGATGGCAGCTGGGCTGGGATCTCTCCAGCTGGCTGTTTTCTGCTGATAGTCCTCTCATGCCACTGCTGATTCAGAGGAATGCTCTCTGATCACAGATGCAAGCAAGCCCCCTCCTCAGCTCTGAACGTTACCTGTTCTGCCTTTTGCTCCTTAAATTATCCTTGGCTATGATCTGTTGCATGATGCTGCTTTGCTGTTGTATTTACAAGGAAGGAATGAGCAGTGCCTGCAGTCAGCTGCCGTGTGAATGTGCAGCCCAGGGGCAGCCCTCAGCTCTGTGTGCTGATAGCTCAGGCCAAGCACCAGGGGATAAATCACCACTCTTTTTCCTGTCTGAGAAGAAGTCAGAAATGAAAAGTGCTGTGGGGAGAGACCAATATCTTGTTAAACTGTCACTGCACTTAATCCTGTCTACAGCCTGCCTGTGAAGAACAGAGGGGACCTTCTGTTACTCAGCAAGCTGGTTCCCAAGCATGGGAGCAAACCTGCCTGTTTACGTGATATGGCACATTCCCTTCTGCGCTGTCATCACTATTAAATTCAAATACAGATAAAAGGATTTAATTTCAGGAGCAGGAAAGCGAGTGTGCTTCAGCCCTCTTAATCTCTGTGCAGTTCAGATTTCCTGCGACTTACACTGAATTTATGTATCAGATAAAGCCACACTAATTGTGTTCCTTTTTTTTTTTTTTTGCCCCCCCTCTCCCCATTTTCTTTCTGTTTATCTGGCACTGGATGTTTGGAAACTGCAGAACTCTGTTTGGAAACAAGATCAAGTCAGTGGCCAAGAAAGCGTTCTCAGGGTTGGAGGCTCTGGAGCACCTGTGAGTAACCCACCATGCCTCAGAGGTTGGGAAGGGGAGGGTCTGCCAAAAGTAGCTGCTTGAGAAATCTGCTAGCAATTTAATAGTGTCTTTGTAAACTGAGAAGCCAGTCCATTTGTGGGGGCCACCTGCTTCCTTCTCATTATAAGTCCTCCTCAACTTTGGCCTTTTTTTGTGCCAGGAACAAAGTCATAGAACATATGGGAAATTTGCATGCTCTTAATTTTTGAGAGTATCACCTTGACTTGCACATTACTGCTTTGCAGGCTGTTAGCAATGAAACTAGGCTGGTTCAGACAGAACACTCTCTCCTCTTTTGCCCCAACCTCCCCCTAAACCCGGGCTCTGGCAGTGACATGTGCTGCAGATGACTGATTTCATCATTGCATCCCCACTGAACATCTCCATTCAGCACAACCCCCTCAGAGCCATTTGCAAGAAGTCAATTTTGGCTCTGTGTAATTTTTTTCTGTGTCCCAAGGCTGATGACTCCAGCAGTGATTCATGAATAACCTCCTTTCTTGGATTAAGACAAGTTAAAGTATATGTGACTGTGCTCTACATGTTTTATTGGCTGTTGATTGTATGAAATGTTATGGCCATTGAGAACATGCTGAAAGATCTGGGCTGCCTGACTGGGAGAACATTCCCAAATAAAGGTGCCCTTAATTCTCTACTTAGATTGTCCTCTTTAAGCAGTGCTTGTCTGCCCTACATGTCACTTAGTAAACTTCAGCCCTAAATCTGACCCTGTGCTTTTTCAGAGAACAAATTATTTTTTTAATTAGTGATATTTGTGAGGGAAGCCTTTAACCCCTTCCTTTGGAAATACTGGGAGTTTTTGAACCCAACAGTATCCTCTCCAAGTCATTTTCAAATAATTCCTCAGATGCTGCTTAGTGCAAATATTTGCCTTCTTTTATGTGGGGTACCACATTCCTGACTATCTTTAGTTATCAAGGGAGCTGAGGAATTTCTGAGCTACGGATGATGGATGTAGCTCAGACTGAGAAAGTGTAGTGAGAAGACTGGGTAGGGAATGACCTAGTGATTTAATTAAATGTAATTTTTGTTGGCTGGCTGATGTTGATTCCTGCTACTGGAGTCAGTGCTGAAATCAATGTGGAGAGGCTCTGTCCCAGCCATGGCATTCCCTTTGTTCACACTGCCTGTGGTTGTGCCTGCAGGAACCTCGGGGACAACGCCATCCGCTCCATCCAAGCCGATGCCTTTGCCAGGATGAAGAGCCTGCGGCAGCTGTAAGTGATTGTCCTGCTCACACCCTCAGGCAGGAGGGCTCCTCCTGGCCCTAGATGTGAGCAGCAGCATGGTTGTTACCCACATTACCACTCACTCATTTCCCCCTCCCCTGCATCCTCCTCTGTGGGGTATTTTTACACATGAGAAGCTGTCACGGGAATGTCTTGCATAGTAATAGTGAGTGTAATTAGATCACTGGCACAGGTTCTTCCAGCAGCTTTCTGCCTGTGCAATTATTCATCTCTGTTCAGGAAGTCCAGCTCTGGTCCTGTTAGCTTCTCCTGCTCACACCACCATGGATTTAATTCCCAGTGGCCCATCTGCTCCCTCGCTGTACACCTGTGTTTAGGGTTCACACACAGGACTGATACTGCAGTGATAAGCACCATTTGAACTGCATCCGCTTGTCATTCAGCCTTCTGGTGTAAAAATACAGATGTGTTATCAGAACTGCTGCTTGTGCTCCGGGATGGGGCTCTGCACTGTTATCAGACACTGTTTCTACTCTTGCCTGGTTTCCTTTTTTCTTCTTCCCCATAAATATTTAATCTACTGTCAGTGCATTGCTATGCCCCAGAGTAGTGCAGTGTCTGTGGAACACAAAATCATTTATTTGGTATTTGGGCAGGTGCAGGTTCTTGCTCCTGACATTGGAAATGGGAATCAGATGGTCACTGTTGGCAGTGACACCTGATACCAGTGGCTGGGAATGAAGAAGATAAACACCATGCATCTCTTGTGTGATTACAAACTTTGACTTCTGCACTGGCACTTGAAACAAAATTGAGTTGAAAGATTGATTTTATTAGGAAGAGACAGTGAGATCCCAGATATTGTGAATGAATGTTTATAAAATTGAGGAGTTCAGATAGAGGACATTTAGATGCAGAATACCTTGTGCTGAAGGATCTTGTGACCTGTCCCAAGTAGCCAGGAGGGATTTATGCCATCATATGTGTTAGAGGCTACACATCTTTCTAGAACAGCAAAGTGGACAGCTTTGAAAAATCAAATCCCTGTATTCCCTCCCTCTCCAGTCAATTTCTTTCTTTTTCCCTTTCCTGCTCATTTCAAACTTCAGGATTTCCCGAGGTAGAAAAATAGCAGGAGATTCACATCTTACAGTGCAGTGCTGGAGTTGGAATTCTGCTGTGTTCTTGATAGCCTGCTCTTTCATAGCTTGTAGTATTACAGGACAGAAGTTCTCTCTGGGGCATTTTCCCAGTCTCTGAGGCATCCTCACATTCAATTCCAAGGATCAGACTGAGTTTTTCAAACCAGACCAAAGTATGAATGCCCTGTTTATGTAAATTTACAGTTCTTCACTGGCCTTAGAGCTATGCTGAGCCATAATTTGGCCCAGAATATTAAAAAAATCCCACATAAATCCCCTTGTTCTTTACCCCTTTTTCACACTCTTTTGCTAACAGAAGGTGCTAAGCTAGTATTGGGTCAGAATACTACAGTGGTGGGGTTGGAACTGAGGATGCTGAGAAACATTTATGTGTTTTGTTTTCCAGAAAAGTAACTGTTTCTGTAGGGTTTACACAAATATCTTTGGTCATTTCTCCTCTAGCTGCTTCTGTTAAGCAGTAAACACAACTCCAGGGTCGCCAGGGAAGGCAGGGTCTCTCTCTGGTCAGTAGTTAAGTGCTGAATTTGGTCCCCACCAAAGATGCTCAAACCACAGGGGCAGAGCAGGAACTCATTGACATTTCTTGTCTGTTCCTGGGGATCTCTCTGGGAGCAGGTTCATAATTACAAGGTGCTGCAATGTCACTGCAGTACAGGAGGGAGTTTCTCTACGTGGAGATGAAATGCTATTTGAATGTGTCACGTCTGTAACATCTTTAGTGCCTCGAGGACATCCCTGCAGTCCTTTTTCTTCCTTCCACCCATGCTGGGGGGGCAGGAGGAAAGTGTTTAACATGAAAGGACTGGGAGCCTCCCAGCCTTCCCTCCGTGCAGGACTCACAGCAGGCTCGTGTTGGTTTTGTTTCCCTGCAGCCACATTAACAGCGACAGCTTCCTCTGCGACTGCCAGCTCAAGTGGCTGCCCCAGTGGTTGGTGGAGAAGCAGCTGCAGTCCTTTGTGGTGGCCACCTGTGCCCATCCTGAGTCACTGAAAAGCAAGAGCATTTTTGCCATCCAGCCAGAGAGTTTTGTGTGTGGTAAGTCTCGCCTGCGTGTTTTGAGGTTGTATGAAGGGTAGGAGTCACTTGGGAAACATTTTCTTTGAGTACCAGCATGTTATTATGAGAGGGTTTCTGTTTTGTTTTGTTATTCAGTGGGATCAAAGGAAGCCCAAGCCTGCATTTAAAAAATTTGTCATTGGCTACAATTTATTTCCCACTAAAACCACACAGCGCATTGCTTGCATCCAGAGTATTCCTTACAGGGTTCCCTGACTATTAAATCAAAAGGGACTAAGGCCTGTTCCACTTCCAGATGGGGCTGCACAGACACTTCCCCAGTCCTCTCAGTTTGATAGTATCAAGACTGCAGCTGTAATTTTTTCCCTTCTGCAGAGTTCTGAGCTCTTCTGTGGATTTGTGTTCTTCACTCATCTTTTCTCCCCCTTGGAGACAACAATGAGTTAAAAACAAAACCCAGAGGAGAATCCCTCCATCACAGCTGGTTCTTTGGGGGCAGTAAGGCCCACCCAAATACTGCAGTTGACTCTGCACCTGAGCCATAGTTTCAAAGCAGCTTTACTTAATACCCAGCACACATAAACATCTACCGCCTTTCTCATAAAGAAAAAGAAATTCAAATCATCAGAGCAGGCCAAATCAATGCTGTTGAGGCATTCAGGTTTTGGGGAAAAGAAAGGCTTGGTTTGGGAGCCAAACCCTGTGCAGTGGAGCCAAGCAGTGAGGATCCTGGGTGGAGCTGCACATGGCTGTTTGAAGGAAAAATGAGCTTTTGCAAACACTATTTAACTGAGCTGAATGCATGACTTGCACTGAACACAGAGCAGAAGCTTTGTTCCCGTGTCCCTCCTGATCCCCCAGTGACATGCTCTGCCTAGGTGGCCTCTGTCTGAGCAGGCTGGGAGGGAGGCTTGCTGTGCTCATCTGGAAGAAGAGATCCTGAAGGCTCCATCCCCACAGCAACATCACAAAGCAAAAGCAGCTTTGCTTCCTGCTGCCTGCCAAGTCCTCCAGGCACTAGTAGTCCTGGTTCCAGAGGCCTGGCTGTTTAATTAAACCTTAGTCAAATATTAAATTACACCATTTGTAGAAACCTAATAAATGAATCTGCTTGGAACCTTGCTAAAACCAACAGTCTTCAGGGCAGAGACAGAGTGTGCAAAGCTTTCCAGCCTGGTCGGGTGACAGGCAAATACAGCTGCTTCTGCTTTGGCAGCATGGGCTGCGTAGAGTCCTTTAGGTTGAAAAAGACCTCTAAGACCTTTGAATCCAACCATTAACTTACTCTACAGCCAGATGCACCACTAAACCACGGCCCTGAGTGCCACATCTCTGAAATACTTCCAGGGATGGTGACTCCACCATGTCCCTGGGCAGCCCATTCTGGTGCTTGACAGCTCTTTTGGGGAAGAAATGTTTTTTATTAGCTGATCTAAACCTCTCCTGGCACAACTTGAGGCCATTGCCTCTTGTCCTATTGCCTGGGAGAAGAGACCAATCTCCACCTCAGTAAAACCTCCTGTGGGTGATTTTCCCTGGAGGTGACACTTGCAGCCCTTTGTGCCCTCTCCCCTCCTATTTCATGCCAATACAGGTCTGGAGCTGAGGTTCTAATTTTAGCTGTGCTCTTCATGCATGGTTTGTACAAGCAAGGACAACCTGAATATGGCCTGAATATCTTCTTCAGACCACAGTATCTTAGATTCAGTTGGTGAAGGAGCTGGCTGTCTTTTAGGTGTCTGACGTCACTCGGTGACCATCTCAGCCCACTGAAGGAACCAGAGGAACAACAATCCCATGACTCAGTGGAGCTGTGTGTGGCACACCTGCTCTACAGAGCACCACTTATTTCTCATTTCACCTCTTGCTTTGCTCCAGTCTGCCCTCAGAGTCCAGCACTGACTATTGCTGTTTCCTCCCAGACGATTTCCCCAAGCCACAGATCATCATCCAGCCCGAGACGACGGTGGCTGTCCTCGGCAAGGACATCCGCTTCACCTGCCTGGCCGCCAGCAGCAGCAGCTCCCCCATGATGTTTGCCTGGAAGAAGGACAACGAGATGCTGCACAACGCCGAGATCGAGAACTTTGCTCACGTGCGGGCCAAGGACGGGGAGGTGATGGAGTGCACCACCATCCTGCACCTGCGGCACGTCACCTTCGCGCACGAGGGCCGCTACCAGTGCGTCATCACCAACCACTTCGGCTCCACCTACTCCAACAAGGCCAGACTCACCGTTAATGGTGAGTGGGAACTGCTTCCTCTTCCTCAGCCTGAGCTCCTACATGGTACAATTCCTTGGGATCCACTTAGTTTCTCCCAAGGGTCCGTTCCTGATGGTGAGCTCTTAACCTCTGCACAGCAGCTGTTTGTGTCTGGGTGGATGCTGGGAAATGCCCTGGGAGGAGCACACACCATTTTGTGTTGGTTGCCATCCAGCCAAGCACTTCAGCATGAATGTTCTTAACGGCTTGAGCTGCTGCTCTTTGGCTGCTCAGTTAGATTCTTAGCCCAATGATAATGAAAATACAAAGGGATGCAAAGAAAAGGGATTTAACTGTTGGAAGATCTCTGTAGAAGAGATAGATTTTTCCCCAGGTTTCACAGAAAAAATGAGCTTTGATCCCATGTCTATAGTTTGGGGTGTCATGGACTCTGCAGACAGGTGTTTTTCTGTAGAAACACAAGGTCAGTCCCCAGCTGTTCAGAGACACCCTGCCAAGGCATGTGGGCATCCTCCTGCCAGTGGGTAATTGTCACTTCAATCCCCTCTGTGGGAAGGCAAACAGACCTGCCCAGAAGATGGTGTTTCCCCACGGAATCGCTCACACCCTTTTCTCATTTCTCCTTTACCAGTGCTGCCATCCTTTATCAAAACCCCCCACGACATCACGAGCCGGACGGGGACGACGGCGCGCTTGGAGTGCGCGGCCGAGGGCCACCCCACGCCCCAGATCGCCTGGCAGAAGGACGGCGGCACCGACTTCCCCGCGGCCCGCGAGCGCCGCATGCACGTCATGCCCGACGACGACGTCTTCTTCATCACCGACGTGAAGATCGAGGACATGGGCGTCTACAGCTGCACAGCCCAGAACTCCGCGGGCTCCGTGCTCGCCAATGCCACCCTCACCGTGCTGGGTAAGATGCCTTAGGATCTTAGCTTTTGTGCTTCTTCATGTATTTGTAATCCTGCAGTTCTTCAGTGTGCAACTCCAAACTCAATATAGAGTGTTAGCTACTGTTCTCCCATTTTGGTCAGACAAAACAATTCCTCTCTAGGCCTGGGAATCAAGGATACCTCACTGTCTCAGGCCCCAAGAAAACAAAAGTGGTGGGGAAGCAAACTTCAAGTAAATTACTTACCTCAATATGGAAATGGACCGAACTTATAAAAGTATGAAAACCCATCATCCATTTTTGTGTGTAGCCCCTGGGCAGGGTTTGTCTGCCCTAAATGTACCTGAAGGCCCTTCAATAAATATAACTGCTTTTAGTCCCTTATTTTTTCTGGCCTCTGTTTTTAGGTAGTGCCAAAAAGGCATCACCAGTGCCCCAGGAGGCTGAGTGCAAGTGGAAACTGGGAGGGATGGCCATTCAAGCTCTTTACCAGTTGCAGATAAAAGAGAGACAGTCAAATGGTCTTAATCTTGTTTCATTTTACACTGTAGTTCACTAATGAAAAATACCTGTTAAGTAAGAGAAGGAGCTGTAAGTCACATCTTCTCTTGTGCCAAGGAAGTCCCTCCAACCAGCCTCTTTGTCTGGGAAAATTACTTCAGAAGGAAATTGTACTTCATCTCTTTTGCCCTATGAAATAATTCATGTGTCAGCTGTTGGCCCATGTCCTCAGAAGTTTCTTGTTGGGAAAACTTAACACTAATTGGTTGTGAGAAGTGAGACCTTGACTGTGCTTGTTAGATCAGTTGTGGTGGGCAGCTGACGTACTCGTGAGCATGTGCCTGCTTCATGCATTGCTGTCTGCAGGAACATGAGGAATATTCAGTGCTGTTAGATCTGTTGTTACACCGTCCCTATGAATTAATTTCTGTGTTTGTTCTCCTGCAGAGACTCCATCTTTGGTCCATCCACTGGAAGATCACGTGGTGTCCGTGGGTGAGACCGTGGCTCTCCAGTGCAAAGCCACAGGGAGCCCCCCGCCCCGCATCACCTGGCTGAAAGGTGACCAGCCCCTGGTGGTGACAGAAAGGCACCACTTCACCTCGGGCAACCAGCTGCTGATCGTCAGGAACGTGGTCCTGGAGGACGCGGGGAAGTACACGTGCGAGATGTCCAACACGCTGGGCACGGAGCGCGCGCACAGCCACGTCAGCATCCTGCAGTCGCTGGGCTGCCGCAAGGACCGCACCACCGTGGGCATCATCACCATCGCCGTGGTCTGCAGCATCGTGCTCACCTCCCTGGTCTGGGTCTGCATCATTTACCAGACCAGGAAGAAGAGTGAAGAGTACAGTGTCACCAACACAGGTAGCTCCGGTGTCCTGAGGCCTCCTCTAACCTTTCGTGCTGCAGACATCCCACCGAGGCTGAGCCGGCTCGTCAGGGAGCCTCACAATCCACTGGAACTGCAGCTGGCTTATCTCCCTGGTTCTCTTGGCTCACAGGGCTGGAACCAGCTTTCACTTGCTGCTGAAGCATGTTCAGAGCTGCATTTCTCCCCTTGGCTTGCTCTTCAGGAAGGTCTTTTCCACTTGGCAGTAGTTCCAGCCATTGCTTTGCTACTTTGGTTTTCCATGACCATAAAATGATAACTTTTGAGACAGTCTGGATGATGTCCATGATGCTGGGAACCTGTCTTACTTTTTGGATATCTGTATTTTTAAAGACTTTGAAGTCAAAACTTGAAAAATTTTTTGGCTATAAGAGTTGGCTATAAGAGCCTGCCCTGCTGATGGGGGGGGTGGGGATATCTATTACTTTTTAGAGGAAAAATTAGTGTTTATTGCTTTCTCCTGATATTCAGAGGGGATAATTTGGTGCTGAAATTTGTTGCAGTAAGAATAGTCTTCTGCCCTCCTTATGCAGCCTCTGAACAAAACAGAAGTATGAAAGAACCAGCCTAAGAATTTCCCAGCCTGCTTGGAATTTCCAGCCTTCCTACATTATGTTTAGCTTTACATAGAGAACAAAAGGATTTTTAAAGACACAGGCTAGGTAGGAAGTCTTGGATAGAGTATTAGCAGTGTGATGTACTAGTGGGATTCTTTCATAACTCCTTTTTATAGCCCTGAAAATCCAGGGCTTCGTGCCTGATATAATTGAGTTTCACTTGGTTTTGTGTGGCAAAGGAAACTGAAATTGCCTGATAGAAAATGGAGAAAGCTAAGGACAGCTAACAGGCTTAACACTTATTTCCTGCTTAAGAGAATCAAAGACCCTGTTCTGCAGAATGCTTTTACTCCTGACTTCAGGGGGCAGAAGACTTGAGTCGAAGGAGGGACTGAATTTCAGGGGAAGGAGAAGGATTTACTTATTCTGAATAAATAGTTCTACTCCACCTACTATGTACTGACCATGCCACATGCAAATACTCAAAGTGCCTTTATCAGCACTCTGTCTCACAGCTTTAAGCTTTGAAAAATCAGGAATGGGGCTTACGAGGGAAAAGGAGTATTTAGGCAGTTCAGTTTCCAGTGCATCTATAGAAAATAACCGGTTCTAGATCTGGTCCCAAATACCCCTTGAAAATGCAAATTTACTTTGAAACTCCTGCTGGGAACTGACTTTTCCCTGTTCCCATTGCTCTAGATGAGACTATTGTGCCTCCTGATGTGCCAAGCTACTTGTCCTCCCAAGGGACTCTCTCGGAGCGCCAGGAAGTGGCCATTGGAGTGGACACCCATCAGCCCAATGGGCACATCGACAGCAACGGTGAGAAATGGTTTAATTATTCTGTAATGCTGGATCTGAACTTGATATGGGAGGTAGAAATCTCAGCCCAGAGTGCTTCTGTGTTTGTGTTTGTACTGAGTTATCTGAGAGATCTTCATAATGTAATTCCTGCATTTATGCAGAGCAGGGATGTGTGTTTGACTTCACAGAGCTCTCCTCTCCCAGGAGTAAGTGTTCCTACAAGCTGACTGCCCCAGAAACTGCTCAGTCAGGCCCTAAGGACTGTTTTTTTGCTAATTTTGGATTCTTTTTTTTGGCAGCAGTGTTACCCATAGTCATACTAGAAAATGCATTAGCATTGCCTGTCCCTGCCTTCAGGCTTTGAAATTAAATGTTGGGGTTTTATACTATTTAAACACAGCACATTAAGAAGGAGAAGAGTTCTGAACTAAGATCCTCCTGAGATTGTGCAGCATTTATTCTGTTAAATGTTAGCTGAAAATTATCTATTTTTTCTCCCTTTTCTAGTGTGAGACAAGCAAGTCATTAACTGTGAGCAGATGGCTGTGATCTTTACCCAGATGGTTTGTTTGTTACAGGGATGTGTCAGGCTGATGCTGGAAGGTGTCCAGATGTTGAAGCTCCTGCTGTAGGTTGTAGACAGCCTAAGCTGTGTATCAGCTATAATAAAGACACTTGGAAAACTGAGGACATGGCCAATGGAATGCTTGTTCCAGATAAGACAGGTACAAACCCCATTAATCTGGGAAGGTATTTCGTGTTTGTACAGATCACAAAACCCTTCAAGTCAGACAGCATTAACACAAGAAATTGTTACCTTCAGAGAAAAGATAGTTCAGAATGATTCTCAGGTGCAAGCACAGAGAATTTACTTTCTTCTGCTTGCTTTGATCCTCTCTCAAGCTTGGGTAGCTGGAATTTGAGGAACTGTCAGAAAGAGGAAGAGTAAAGTTCCCAGTTGCCACCCTGTGCAAATCAGCTGGCTGATGGGAATTTTGTGATATATATTGAATATTTTAGGAATATTCCTAATATTATGATTTTTGTATGAGAAGATATGAGAGCACTTTCAAAACTGAAAGTGTTAAATTTTTTCATGCTCTTTGAAAAGGGCTGTTGACTTCAAAGCTCAGCTTTTTAATTTCTTTTCAAAATTTAAAGGTTGTTTTGGGCACTACACCTGCCTTTGCTTTTTGCCAATTTCTTGGGTGTTACACTCATAGTTTTCTATTTTTAGGATGTGCATTCTGTTCTCACACCTGTATTGTACAAGCCAATGAAACATTGACAAAGAAAATCAGCCAATGAAACATTTTCTCTCTAGGAGAAACTAATGTAAAGTTTAATAATGGAAAGTTGTTGAATGCACTAAGGAAATTAACTTTCAACATTTAGGAATTCCTTGCTGCTTTGAATTCTGGTCATCTGTAGTTCCCTACAGTAATAACGTATCATGAAATAAGAGTGTGGGCTGATGGTGATCCCTGTAAAGCAGCAGCACAAAAATAAGAAAGGCAGCTAAAACAGCTACAGGAAAGTTTCACTTTGCATTTCTACCCTGATTAGAAGGTCTGGAAAAGGAAATACATAGTTTATTTAAAAAACCGAAAGCTACAAGTTCTTTGGAGTGAAAAAAAATCCCTGACTAACTAAAGCTGTTAATTGGAACTACCTTTAGTGATGGAGACTACAGAGTTCTAAAAACTGGGTGTGTAATAGCCCTGTGTAAGACCATGAAGTGTCCACTTTATTTAGTGAGAGATTCCCCCACCGAACTACACAGAACTGCCCTTTCCTTCCATGATTTGTGTGCTCCAGTGGTGAGCACTTGCAGCTGCTCATCTTCCCTTGTTGATTTTCCTTTCTTCCCCCAAAGGCTTCGGGCTGCCCGTGGTGTGCACGGAGTGCAGCAGCAGCACGGACAGCATGAACGTCCACATCTACCCCAGGGACTCCGAGTGCTACCCCGAGAGCCTAAAGACTGTGGAAAACACCCACCCCAGTGCACTGAGCAGCAAGGAGCGCCATAGGAAAAGGGGTGCAGGCACCAGCCTTCTTCATGCTCAGCCCTGCAATGGGATTGCCAGTGGCAAGAGGGTGGAAACAGACGGGACCCTGTACCCCAGTAACCACGACAGGATAAGGCTGGAGGGCACGGCTGGCGCGCTGCTCGCAGACACGCACGGTACGTCCTTCCTCAGGGTCACCTCTGATCCCCAGGGGCACCACTGGGGCTGGAACACAGCCCCATGTGCTCCCCTCAGCCTTTTCAATTAGCTGACAGGCATGGATGGCAGCGGTGGGGTTGGTTTGAGCACAGAACAGAATTATGAAGCTTGGGAAAGATCTCCAGGGACATGGAGGGTGGGAGTGCTTGGCAGGCTGAGCATCACCTAACCACGCTGCTCCTTTGGGGTTTTGCAGGCTCTTCACAAGCAGCAGCAAAGCCTTCAGAGCTTAACAACCTTAATTTGGTGAGAGCTTCACCTGCAGGAGGGTCATTAAAACAACTGAACGTGCTTCCCGAAATAACCCCAGCACTACTGGATCTGCAGAGGGAAGCAGAGGTGGAGCAGGCTCTCCTGCCCAACAGCACCACAGCCCAACGCCACGACTCCACTCACGAGCCCAAGCTACCCAACAGATCTCTGGACTGAGAGCACAGACTGACTGCCACGTGCAAATTAACAAACACACTATTACTTTTTTTAATTTTTTTTTTTTTTTTTTGCACAGAGTATATAGGCTACTTACTTCTACCTCGAATTTTGAACTGATGGCCTGGCAAAGGCAACCAACTGAGGTATGAGAAACAAGCTTGTATGGGGAACAACCTCCTGTTCGAGCGTCATCTGATTGTACATAGTTTAAAACTTCCCTGAGAAGTATGAAGTGTTCAAAAGTCAACTTGCATATGAAGCACATAAATGCAAGGGATTATTGTGTAAAGAGAAAAGTATTTGATACAATTGTACATAAGAGTTTTCATATATAAATATATATATATAAATATATATATATATCTTTTACAGAGGCTATTTTAATCTTTAGTGCATGGAAAACTGAGTGAAATTTTACAATTTTGGCAATATTGTTTTCAGTATCAGGTTGCTGTTAAACTTTGTGAGAGAAATTCTGGTGCCTTAAATGCATAAACAGAACTTTTAAAAGCCAGACTGTTCCAAAGGGATTGTCCTATTTTCAGTGGAAGTTCCTTTACACCATGTACACCAGGGCTGGGGCAATCCCAGGTACTGGCTGGCTGGAGAAGTGACCAGGAGCAGCCTCATCTGTGGAGAGGAACTTGGGGGTGTTGGTGGATCAGAGGCTGGACATGCCCTGGCCATGTGTGCTCACAGCCCAGAAATCCAACCGTGTCCTGGCCTGCATCCAGAGCATTGTGGGCAGCAGATTCTCCTCCTCTGCTCCACTCAGGTGAGACCTTACCCAGGCTTCTGCACACAGTTCTGGTGCCCTCAGTATAAGGAGGACTGTAGTGACAAGAGTAATGAGTTCAAACTGAAAAAGGGAAAATTTACATTAGATACAGAAGAAACTGACATTTTTCCCTGTGAGGGTGGTGAGGCACTGGTACAGGTTGCCAGAGGAACTGCAGATGTCCCATCCCTGTAGGTGTTCAGGCTGGATGGACCTCTGAGCAACCTGGACCACTGAAAGGGGGGGTTGGAACATCACCTTTAAGGTCAGGGCAGGGTGGATAGATGGGCTTAGTCCAACCACTTGAAGTTTAACAAGTCCGAGTGCTGGGTCCTGCACTTTGGTCACAACAACCCCAGCAGCGCTACAGGCTGGGGACAGTGTCTGGGGACAGTGGCCAGAGAGAAAGGGCCCTGGGGGTACTGGTGACAGCAGCTGGACATGAGCCAGCAGTGTGCCCAGGTGGCCAAGAAGGCCAATGGCCCCTGGCCTGGATGAGGAATGGTGTGGCCAGCAGGAGCAGGGAGGTCATTCCTCCCCTGCACTCGGCACTGCTGAGGCCACACCTCGAGTGCTGTGTCCAGTCCTGGGCCCTCGGTTTGGGAAGGACCTTGAGACGCTTGAGCACATCCAGAGGAGGCAACGAGGCTGGTGAGGGGCTGGGAACACAAACCCTGTGAGGAACGGCTGAGGGAGCTGGGGTTGTTTAGCCTGGAGAAAAGGAGACTCAGAGGTGACCTTATCACTCTTCAACCTCCTGAAAGGTGTTTGTGGTCAGATGGGGGTCGGGCTCTTCTCCCAGGCAACCAGAGACAGGACAAGAGGACACAGCCTTAAGCTGTGCCAGGGGAAATTTAGGCTGGACATTAGGAAAAAATTCTTCACAAAAAATGACTGGGCATTGGAATGGGCTGCCTGGGGAGGTGGTGGAGTCACTGTCCCTGGAGCTGTTTAAAAAAAGACTGGATCTGGCACTTAGCCATGGTTTAGATGATACAGTGGTGTTAGGTCATAGATTGGACTTGATTGTCTCAAAGGTCTCTTCCAACCTAGTTAATCCTGTGATTCTGTCCCTTCCAAACCAAGACATCGTGATTTGACTGGGTTTCTTAGCACAAATTTCCTTCCCCTTGAAAATTTACTGTACTTAACACATTCAATAACAGAGATCTTCAACTGTGTCAAATTTATGAAGAAAAAAAGCAGTGAGCAATTACATAGCAACCTGATATTTTCCTGTTGGTGGAAGAACTTAAATTCCATTATTTTTCAAAACTTTATACAATTTGCATTTGAACTGTGACTGTGTGAGACTTTAGCATGGACCACACAGGAGGCACTAAATAACTCTTCAACAGTGCAGAGCCCCAAGACAACCAGAGGAAAAGGCTGTTTTGACTGGGAAGAAGTTGTTACCAAAATAAATAACTTGTGCAGTAAACCAGGGGTGGTCTCGTAAGAGCGCACCTCTCAAACACATCATCGCAGGAGGTGTTACCTGCCATGTGTGCTGGCACAGCACTGAGCACCACAGGCCCTTCCCCTCCCAAAGGGACCCAGCTCTACCTGTCTGAGGTGTGTGCAGCAAATCCAGCCTTGCCCTGCTTAGAATAAATAACCTCTGCCAGTATAATGCATCTTCACACCCAAAAAACACATCTGCTCCAGTGGGGGCTGAAACCATAGAGCTGTTTTGACAACAAAACTAAACTGCACTCCTAAGGGGACAGCTGTATCACTAATTCATCCAATACTTTTTTTTTTCCCCCCTTGCAACACAATATTACACTTTGTAGTTGAACAGCCAGACTCTCTATATGAAAATATCACCTCCAAGAGAGTTATGCTGCCTTGTGTAGCAATTCTGGGCTAGTTAGAAAAACTTGTTTTATAAGGAAAACTGTGGATTCATGGCTGAATAGACTTTTAAATGGAAATGCCCCAAATGTTTCTATGTGGTCTTTTAAGTTCCTCTATTAATGGGGGGGTATAAAGAAATGCCCACCTCAGTCAAACAGATCTTTGTCACTTCTGACTTTACAATGACACTTTTTATTTATAGAAAGGTTGCTTTCTGTTGGTGTTTGCTGGTACCTGTGGATGGAGGACTCCCAGTTCTTTGTGATTTGAGCTCTGCTAAGATGAGGTTGCTAACCCTGGTGATGACTGCTTTGAGGCAGGTTTATCACGGGGGGAGGGTGGGGTTGTTACTTTTTTCCTTAGGAGCAACTCTAATACCAGTTCCACTGATGCTGAGTCTGGGAATCCACCTTTGCCAGGACTGTGGTTTAGAACAAGCAGCAGAGATAAGGGCAGAAACGCTTCATGTTCACCTGAGATCCATCACTGAGGGAGCTGCCCCAGCACTGCTGCACCTGTGGGGTTTCAGGGAGTGGCTGCAAGCTGCCCCTTGGCTTTATCACAAGCTGGTCCTACCCAGCCTTAGCTTGAGGAGCCATCAGCTCCTCTAAGGGAAGGACCTCAGGGTCAGGGAGAGCAGCAGCTGCCCCTGGATGAAGCCAGGCATAATTCAGCCAGTACCTGTCTGTCCCAGTCCCTGACTATTGACACATTTGCACTTTGAGACAGGTGGTGAATTATGTTGAGTGCCAAGTTTATTGAAAGCAAAGGAAAAGGGTGTTATAAAATTATAAACTGAGCAGAAGTTTTCCTTTCACTGAAAGGAAAAGTGCTCCAGAACCAACTCATGGAACCAGGGACACGGGGAAGATGGGAATGATCCAATGGGCTCGTTTTGCTGGCAGAAATGTCATCACCAGTGCAGATACAAAGCATATTTGCCATGTTAACATTGAAAGTAATGTTTCTGAATAAAATTAACTGCCTAATGACTTCCACTAAATATGTGAATTTGCTGCTTCTAAGAGGCAATGTGAAAGAGGAAGTATTACTTTTGTGTACAAATTTATTTATTTATTAGAAAATTTGGTACAATGTTGTACATTGAAAAACATGTAAGATATTGAAGTGTCTAACAAACGGCATTGAAGTGTCTTTAATAAAGGTTCATTTATAATATTACGGCTGATTGGTTGAGAGTGAGCTTTTGGGAGTTTCAGTTGAAAATTAAATAAAATTCTAATCCATTGCTACATCTCTTTTTTGTCTTTCATGAAAATGGAGATTAACTGCCAAAGTACCTGCTCTTAAAATTGGGCCACGAGATCCTGGGGAACAGCATGAGGCTCTGACAGCCTGACATGTGGATGGGGTGGAATTTGGGGCTGGATTGAAAAATACAATACAGGACTTTTAAGAAATACACTTCATATATATATATGTATGTTCAGTTTGCATTACAATCTGGCAAGTCCCCCCTATCTTGGCAGTAAGAACACAACAGATGAGGGGTGTGTGCACGTGTGCAAGTAAAAACAGGGCCAGGACAACACCAGGCCCAGCTGCAATATTGAACACCTCTGGTGTTCCCAAACCCCAACCCCACCCTAAATGGAAATTCCAGAGGTAGCTTTGGAGATAAGCTTGAATTCCTGCTTTAACTAAAAATCAAAATTCAGTTTTTGTACATTTTTTAAAAATTAAGAATTATGTCCTCATTGAAGTTTTCATTTTTGGTATAAAGCACGTTGTCTGAGAATGCTTAAAGTTTCTTAACACATCTAGGAGTTAACATTTTTCAAAATTGGGAGAGGTTTTAAGAGGCTTGTTATAAACGAGACTTTCTGATGGAGGAGAAAAGTCTGGCTCGTTTATTAAATGTGAACAATGGCCGAAGAGAGACCAAGCTAAGCTTGTGTACCCCACCCTTCAAACCAGGATAACAATAAACAGCACAAACATCCTTCTCCAATGAAATAACCTCAGATAGCAGCCAACACCCTGATTTATTCCCTTCCCCAAGTCCTGGATTGGTCCGTTTTGGATCCTCTTTGGGATTGGCCGCTTTCCCAGGCCATGATTGGTCTATAACAGTGTTCATCCTGCTCCAATTGTTTTCTCAAGGCATCGTGTGATTGGTGGATGCTTCTTCCAATCATCACTTAAGGTATTGACAAGCCCTTCATTACCTCATGTTCTGGAATGTTCTTTTCTTCTACCAGTCCAGGCCCTTACAAGCCTCGATATTTCTTACTAATCCACCATATTCCAATCACCAGACCCCAGCCCAGTCTCAATCCCAAATAAGCCAAAGTCATTAACAGTAATACCAACCATCATCTTGACAACTTTATATCATAATCAGACATAATTAACATTTACCTCTTGTAACTTTGTAACCCACAACATTAATTAACACTTCAGTAATAGCAACTTTAATTAACCTCCCAGGCTTAATAAAAAGGTCACTTATAACAGGCTGGTGCCTGGCCTGAAATTTGTTACCCCACTTCATCCCAGTAATGGGCTACAATTAGGTTTTTTATTTCATTTTGGTAAACTTGAAATAAAACATTGCTGAAACTTAAAGCAAACAGTCATAGGGGAACCCAGGCATTTTTTGGTCTATTTTATTCCCCAAATTAAAAATGTCCTTTACACCCTGATTATAGAAACCAGCCACCTGCTGCTCTCCCTTGCCTGCTGCCATTCCCAGGTACCTTTGGCCTTCTTGTGGTGCAGAGCTGCTCCACTGGCACAGAGGAAAGGGAATCACTTGAGTTCTGTCCACTCCCACCATTTGGTTGGTTAAAACAATTTGTCTGCTTGGTTGGGTTTTGTTGGTTTTGGTTGGGGTTTTTTATTTTAATTTAAAAAAAAAAAAAAAAGAAAAAAAGTGATGACTAAAACTGATTCTGCAATATTAAATAAAAACAACAAAAAATGCACCATTTGGACCCAATGACATAAAGATGATTATTTACAGCTCAAGTAATTAAATGCATCAACTGCACTACTAACCCCCTCACCATGTTTAAAGAGCTTCAAGAGAAAATGTGATAGATTTTTAGACTGAGTAATAAATCTCCCTCCCCCCCCAGCCCCTAAAATTGGATGTGATACATATATATATATAGAATGTCATAAAACAGCCTCCAAGTGGCAGGAAGCACAGCTACACCAAGCCATGGTAACGAGTAGCATTACCCACCAGCCAATACAGGACTTGACTGAATTCTGCATTTTAATTGAAGATTATTTTAAAGAATTATGTCCTTTGTTCTGTATGTTTTACTTGTCTGCCAATTATTTTCTAAGTTTTGGCCTCTAAAAAGTCTTCCTGCTCTGTCATGGACAGCAGTGTAATAAAACATCCAGCCTGTGCTGTTGGCACTCTGGGCAGGGGCTCTGGTGTCACTCGTGTCCCCTGGTCAGGCCCCTGACCTGCTCTGACATTTGTTCTGCCTTTCCCCAGACTCCAAACACCTGGACATTGTCCTGATGAGGGGAACAGCCTCACAGGTAAATTACAGCACCCTAGGGCAGCACAGCAGCCCTGGCACATCGCAGTGTTGGGATGACAGGGACGGAGCGTGCAGGAAGCAGCCGGAGCGCACACGGTGCCACCAGGACGAGTGACATGGCACAGCTCAGTCACAGGGCCCTGTGGCACCCACTCCTCTCCCCCTGTGTGAGGAGCTTCCCACTGCAGGAAACCATCACCCACCACAGGCTTTGCCTGCCCACACGAACACCCTCCACAGAAACACCTCCTCAACCACCACTCAGACAAGCTGGTGCTGTAAACCTGGCCCCAGCACCGACTCTGGTGATAATTTTGAGTAATTCCAATAAGGTCTTTTCATCACACTCATGCCCACACCATTTTGGCTGCTGCAGCTTCTGTTTCCTACATGAGAACAGCACCAGAATTTTGCTCTGACTGCCAGCAGCCCCCCGCAAGCCCTCAGGATCCACCCCTACATCAGCAGAATTCTGATGTTCTCCCTGCCTTGCCCTCCCAGCTTCCCTCCCAGGCTTCAGCACTTCCATCCTCCTGCTGCTTCAGCAGCTGAGGGATGAAGACCAAAAGAAGGCAGAGCTCCATGTCTTTGCACAAGCACAGCTGTAAAATAATACAAGCCTGTGCTTTTACTGGAGAAATATGAGTGTGATTAATAAAGCTGCACTGGCTCCCACACAGGAATGCTTGCTGAGCACCTGTAGGTATAAACAGGAATATAAACTTCCACAAATACAGCTCGAATCAGAAACAAATGGATTATTGTCTTTTACAAAGAGCTCTCCCAAGCCGGAATCCTTTCGGTGCTGTTGGAGGGCAGCAGGCTGTAACTCTATCAGCCCCTTCCCCTCCCCTGTTATGGAGCAGGTGCCACTGAATGATGAAAACTTGCTTTATTTCAGCCTTCCCACTCAGCCCCCAAGCCAGAGCTTTCCAAAACACTTCCCCTGCAGGAGTTCTAATAATGCCTTTTGCAGCCATCGTAATTAGCTGTTTACCCCCCAAACATTGCTTTTTTGGCACAACTCTTCACAATGACTTCACCCACTTTCCACGGAGGAAAATTTCATGTTTGGGAAACTGGATTATTGGAGGATTTACTTTTCTCTAGCAGGGAGAGTGGCTCTCAGGCTGCGGGACAGCTGCTGTGAGGGCTGCGGGAGGAAGGCGCTGCTCCCAGCCCGATTCCTCCTGCGGCTCAGTGGCTTCTCCCCAGCAGGAGCGGCCGGGCTGGCTCACAGCAGCAGCTGCCGGGTCTTCTCGTATGTCCCCAGGAAGATGAAGCCTCCCAGGCTGATGGCTGCCATCCGTGGGACAACACCTGCGAACAAGCTGAAGGCAAAGGAAAGGCAGTTGGAGAGGATGAGCGGGGAGTGGAGGCAGGGGCTTCGGAAAACAAAGCCAAGAAAAACTCTCTCTTGCTGGTTTCTTAAATCCCACTCTGCTGCTCACTGAAGGAATCTGTCTGGACTTCCCCAACACAGCACTCCCAAGGCTTGCTGTTTTTAACCCCTCTCCACACTCCTCAGGAAAGGGCTGAGGCAGAAGGAAAAGGCAGGAGACCATTATGGGCCAATGCAAAGGGGAGCTCAGATCCATGCCCACCAAGAGCTGCAGACAGGTGGGAACATCCCCCACCAGCCTCTCTGGGCCAGGGGCTCCCCCTGGCAGAGACAGCCCTGCTCACTGCAGTGGCTCGTTCCCAGGAACACACAACAGCCCTGAGGGAGCAGAAATACTCCATTTGTGGTGCCTTCAGCTGCCACCCATTTCAGGATCTTCATCGTCCTTTGAAATTAACAGGGAACTTATGCAAAGCCAATTGTTTGACACATCTAAACTCGCAGACGGTTTAACAGCTTCAGGACAGGCCAATGTATCCTCCCAGAGGATTACAGGCTTCCTCTGTGGAGAAACCCCCTTCCAGATCTATGGCACTCAGCCTGGCTGAGCTCCACAGGGATCCTGTCCTTGGCTTTCCAAAACACTTTCTGGTCCCTGTGAGGATCGTGTCCACAGTGGGACACTCTAATTCCTCCGGAACCTGGCTGCTCAGGAGCTCCCTGCTCCTGCTGCACAGGGAAACCTCTGGCAGTAATGAGCTCTGCTAAGGAGCCTGGAGCACACAGGCAGATGGAAACATTTTATGGCTTTACTAGACAGCAATTTGGCCTATTACCATAATGACAGCTTTAAAACAGAGTAATTTGTACAAGGCATGTATGGACAGAGCACTGATAGGGCAAATCCTAGGGAGCAGCACACAGCATCCCTCTCCTGCGGAATTAGGGAGCCTCATTACGGGAGCAGGGGCAGACATTCGCTTCCAGAACAGCCCACTCGAGACACAGCTATTACACAAACAGGGGCCCATAACTGAGTTACCCAGAAGCTGCATCCCTGGCAACCCCTATTACTAACCATCACTTCCAAGAATCCTGGCCCTGCTTCTCCCCGTTTCCTGCTCCCACCTGCCACCTGTGGCCTCTCCAATCCATGCTTCCCCCATGGGCTCCCTTTCTGTGTGAGGGCAGAGCTGAACAGCTGCAGGAAGGTCCCAAATCCAAAGAGCAGAGCTCTGTGGCAGGTCTGATCCAAACTGGTCTCTGCTGGGCCACGCCTGCCTCCATCAGCAGATGAGACAAATTGGGTTTATTTCTGCTGGCCCCATCAGAAACCGCTCTGGTGGGCAGAGGTCTGCTGTCTAGTTGGATTTGGTTTGTCTGGAGATTTCACCTGGCACTCTGCCACTCCTCAGCTCCTAACAGGAGAATAACAGGACCCTTGCAGTTACCCTTCATATCATTGAATCATCTAGGTTGAAAAAGGACAAGTCCAAAACAACCGAGCACTACCCAGCCCACCACTAACCCATGTCCCCAAGCACCAGTTACACATGTTTTGAACACTTCCAGGGGTGCTGATCCTACCACTTCCCTGGGAAAGAGGGTAAGGCAATGCAGCTCAGAGGGGCCAGTGCCAAAAAACCACTGTGTGCTTGGCCACAAAACCTAAGAAGTACCCTCTGGACCAAGGAGGTAACCACACTGAGACAAACCACTGCTTTCCTCTGGCTACAGCTCTGCACTGAGCTCTCTGTGTGGGCAGCTTGTGCTCTGCACAGCAGCCAGCAGGGCCTGGCTGTGGGGAACAGCATGGCTGGGACCAGCAGGGGCACAGGGGGTGAGCAGGACTGCATGAAGAGGACACTGAGCAGGACTGCATGGAGAGGACACTGAGCAGGACTGCATGGAGAGGACACTGAGCAGGACTGCATGGAGAGGACACTGAGCAGGACTGCAAGGAGAGGACACTGAGCAGGACTGCAAGGAGAGGACACCAAGCAGGACTGCATGGAGAGGACACTGAGCAGGATGAGCACAGGCTGGACAGGAGAGGAAAGACAGGGCCTAGGCCCAGCCACAAGGCCTGTCCAGTGCTCAGGGGAGGCCTTGGGCAGCTGATAAATGGCACACAACGAGCTTCAGTGAGGCAGTTTATAGTGGCTTTTATACCCCATAGTTCCTCCCATAGTTTGCTCTTTGATGGGCTCACGAGTCTCCCCCTGCAGCAGGGTTACCCCACAGCTCAACCTGCAGCTCGGTGCTGGAAGCTTTCTCCCTCTGCTTGGCTGCCAGGTGAAATTCCCCCAAAGACAGGACCCTTCTCTACTTCCCAAAGAGAATTCTCTCCGAGGGGGGTGCCCAGCAACAGAGGCTTTCTCTGTGCATGTGCCATTACTGCTGAGGCATGTGCCCTTCTGGTATTTTTCCACTGGAATCGAGATTCATAATCCATACTTCAACAAATAAAACTAAACTATGTCGAGGGAGTATTATTTCAAAATTAAATCGGTACCTCACACATGCCAGTTCCACTCTGACCAGGAAGCTCATGGGAGGAACAGGACACCTGGTGCAATACTGCCAGCTCCATCCCCAGCTCCACACAGGCCACCTCACCAAGAGCATTTCCACTCCAATAGCCCTCGTGTTCCTCAACAAGAAGCTTCAGCCATGGCTTTCAAACACCACTGTCTCCTTATGTGAAAAGCTGTCAGACAAGATGCAAACTCTCTCTCCTGTGAATGATTCCTCTACCCTGCTGGCAAGAGCAAAGAGGTTCACAGATCCTCTCACCCCATGCCTATCCCAGCCCCTGCCACAGTCCTGGCTCTCCCTGGACAGAAAGGGATGTGGAATTCCTTGGCATGAAGCAGAGGGATTTACTAGGTGCAGACCAGGAAGCTGAGCCCTGTGCTCTGGTTTTAATAAGGTGGCAATAAGCAATGCGTCTTTCTGCCCTCAGAATTCCTCCTCTTCAAGTACGAGATTTATTAGAGGAGCCATAAATCATGTCATGTTGTAACTGGCCAAAAAAGCCCGACATTTTTATTGGTTTTGATTAATAGATTTATAATTGGCAGCAGGCATGGCAGCCTCTGAGTTTATTTTTCCCAAGACTTTCTTCCTTTTCCTCGCAGCTGACGCAGCTTGGCCTCCTTTACATGTTACTTTTTCTCCAGATCTCTTATTGTTTTGATTTCAACTAAATTGTGTTCCCTTTGGTCCTAGTCCATTGGTGCTATCTTTGGGCAGAGATTAATTCTGGGTTGTTTAGAAAAGGGCATTGCTGAAACACCCTGAAAAGAAGACAAACATATATTTTTACTTTCTGCTGTTAGCTGGGGGATGGGGGAAGTTTCCTCAGTCAAATCCATGCCTCTTCACACCCTTCAGAGCTCAACTTCTACTAACACCAGACATGGCCTCACTTCTTCCAGTCCCTTTCAAAACATGCCTTAAGGGTCCACAAAGCCATGCAGGACCCAAAATTCATCTGCTGCCACATCACCTTGTCTCAGGCAAACCTGAGACAGCCCATCCCTGAGTGCTGCTGGGGGGCACAGCTGGATGCCTTCCTGGAATCAGTGTTCAGGAACTTCCTGCAATTTGTTTTGAATTATTTCCCACATGTGTAGAAAGAGGGTTGAACTTTTATTATCTGGGCAAGCAGAGATCAGATGTTCAGAGAAAGCTGTCCCCTGCAAAGCTGTGTTGTGCACAGTGCTTTGGGCAACAAAGGTTAGAACAGTGTCCTGAAAGAGCGGGAGGGTTAAAAACATAGAGAAAATTACAAGAAAAAGCCCCAAGCTTCCAAAAATCCCTCCACTTCTCTTCCAGGCCCTACTGAAGGAAGCACAGGCTGAACTTCATGGACTGGAGAAGTTAAGACATATATTCACTTTCAGAGGTCAACTACTGGTATAAGACATGCACCCAAAGAGGACAAGGTGGTGTAAATGAAGCAGTGTCAGTAAAAATCAATAATAATTTTGACACCTCAAAAAATTCTAGAAACACTAGCAGAAAACTCCATGTTCCCACACTGCTCCAAGGCCAGGAGAGCAATTCTCTGTCTCAGAACTGGACAAAGTGAGACACCTAAGAAACTAGATGGACATCACCTCAGACTTCCATAGCTGGTCAGAGGAAAGCCCAGAACATTTCCACACCCTGGCTACAGCAGGAAAGCCCCGGAGAGCTGCTCTGTGGCTGCTCAGACCTACTCTTTGTACTCAAGCCAGGCTCAGAAAACTTGCACTTTTGCAATGGGTACCACACTGCAAAAATCCAGGGGCACATACTCAAGGCCAAGGGATATACTCCCAACAATGCCCTTTTCTGTGCTGTTCCCTGGCCATTGCCCTCAGCCAGGACTAAGGTGAGGACACTCAACCTCCCTGAGGGACTTGTTGCTCCCTGCCCAGGTGTGCAGCAATCAAAAGGCTTTTCTGTGTGCCAGTATTTAAATGTAAACAGATCCCATCCTCTCACACCCCCTAAAACACACAGACAACACAACCCCTGAGGTGCAGCGCGTCCTTACCCTGACAGGCCTTGTGTCCTCCAGATGCCACCGAGGGCAGCCAGCACGTTCCCGCTGGCGTTGCTGGAACCAGCCTGAACCACAGAGAAAGAGATTGGAAAGTGTTGGCAGAGGTTTAGTTATTTACTGAGCTCCTGTCCCTGGTTAGCACTACATGACAGGAATTACAGATATCCTAATGATCTCCTTACCCCAAGCACAAGCTTCTCGTCTCCAGGAATGAAAAAAAGGTTGGAAAGTGAAACAGAGGCACAGAAGAACAAAACAATCAAGGTCACAGAGCTGGTTAGTTCAGAACTGGGCACCCAGTCCCTTCAGCTCTACATCTACCAGCTGATACTGTAAGACCTTAATAAAAACCCACTCTCAAAGCACCAAGTGATTTTGCTGATTCTTTAGATTTAAAAGAAAAAACCAAAAAAACACAAACCCTGAGTAGTGTATTGCATGTGAAAATTATCTTGAGTGCAAAATAGAGGACAAACAGCAGGACTGGAGATACTTAAATTCCATGTGTGACCTAGTTCATGTGAAATGACTAATATAAACTGAATGGTCTCAAAGCACCCTCATTTCTTTACCTGGTTGCTCAGGAGAGAGGCAGAGATAAATGAAACACAGTTTTTACAGGTTTATCACTGACGCTACCCAAAGACAAAGAAGTTGCAACAGACAACCCAGCAATGACAGATAACACAGCAACATGGTGAGCACAGATGTGACTCTGCTGGGGAGGTGCATGTTAGCAACAAGAAACACCCCAAAATGAGAGACAGGAGCAACAGGGTAAAAAACACCCACAGAAGCTCCAGAATGCCCATCCTTCACCAACACAACTGCTCTTTTCAGGGCTGGGAAAGGTTTTAGGAACACCTACCTGCTGTGGGCTCTTAGCTCAGTAGCTGTCAGTTCTGCCCTGGTTCAGTGAGATAATGATGGGAACACCAGACTCACTATAAATTTCTAAACTTATTAAACTTACTGCTCTTATAAGCAATCTTCCTTCTGCCCTCACTGGCAGATGCTGGCCATCACAATCTATGGTTTAAAATTTTATGTCAGAAAATACAGTACCAAGCCCTCCTCAGAAAAGACATACACACAGAGTCAGAATTATCAAAACAGCAGAATAAATCCCTGATGGGCAGTTTAACTTTGGGTGTCTGACTGTACAAGGCTTTTCTCCTAAAGACACTGCATGAGACTCTGGAAGCTGAGCACAAGCCCAAGTCTGTTTCAGACCGCTCCTTTGGGAAAGGACCAGAGAAGCATTCAAGGAAAGGAACACAACAATTTCATTAGTTCTGCATGCAGTGCCTGTTTACATCTACTCCTGCCTTCTAGGACAAGAACAGAAATGATTATTAATAGGTGCTGGATTTCATTCTGTAACAACCCTACAGAAAGCCTGGAATACCCAGGCCATTCACCAGCCTGTCTGGTGGCCTCCTTCCCTCTTACCTTTGCCAACATAATTCTTGTTTTTGCTACGTCGAGCGGTGTGGTGACTGCAGCTGCAAATCCACCTGAGAAAATTAAAATACCAAGCACAAGTGAGACATTGTTGTGTGAATATGAATGCCACACTGCCTATAATTCCCAGGGCTGTGGTCAACACTGCTCTGTTATTAATGCCTACAGCACGTTCCCTCACGTCAGAGCCCAGGTACGTCTGTCCAAGGTCCGTACACAGATGTTTTGTTACTGTGGATTGATTTTAGAAAACAGCTCTCTATTGCTTAACTGTAAATCCAAACATCCCCAGGGATGTTACTGTCTTTTTGTTCGAGACTCTGTACATATATGAACATAGGAAGGTTGTAAGGATAACAGATTCCACTTCCAACATCTACAGCAATTTTGGAAAGAAAAAACTGCTTACTCATTTGCAGAGATGGGAAAATAAACCAGTCCCACTGTGCTCTGCATAGAGAATTAAAGTCTGACCATTTAAATGCTAGAAAGATAGAAGCATGCTCAGTATCTGTAACACATATGCTTGGGCTTCTCACTAGATACACACAGACTGGATCTGGGACTGTTTCAAGGAAAAAAGACAAGTTAGTGTTTGGGATGGAGCTCATCTCCAGCAGATTAAATCAGCTCCACTTTGGATAATGACAATGTGAAGCTGCCCAAGGGTCTTAGGAAATTGTCAGAAGTCTGCGGTCACAAGTGCCATCTTACCCTCAGGGGCATTTTTATTCTCTGCTCTCTCCCAAACTTCACCCTTGGAGCTCATTATTGTCACTTGCCACAGCCAGCTCAGCTGTGACTTTCCTCCTGCAAGCCAGAAGTCTTCAGTTTATCCATCTGCATGTCTCACCCCCAAACATGTGTGTGTCTGGCTCCGTATTTTAACCCTGTGACTACAGCCTGGCCTCTTGTGCTATCTAGGGACCATCTCTGCTGCTTTTCCTCCCAGGATTTTATTCCTTTTGCCTTATTTCCCCGTCCTAAAATCAATTCTAATCTTTCCCTCATCTGTTCAAAGTATTTCAAGAGAGTAATTCATGTTGAGGAAGAGCCAAAGTGAAGGAAACTTCTAAAAGGCAGGAACAGCAGTAAGTGAAGAATGGAAGGGGAAGAAAGCGGAGAGAAAAGAGCAAGAGACTTGTTCTGAAATCTTTCTTCCTCCTCCTAATTTTTTCTCTTCTCTGGAGTTTGTATAAGTCCTGTATCTGCTACAGCTGGGAACAAAGTGACTCCAAAGACTGAAGCCTACACAGTACCCAGGGAATAAGCTAAAAATAATCTATTTTCTGTTCCAAGTTTTATGGAATGTAGAAAAATTGATCTCTTTTCTTGGGATGGGAGAAGGGAAGAAAACATTTCTTCAAAAATCTGTAAAGTAATGGAAAAAAACCAAAAAACCACAAACATTTTCCCTGCTGGCTTGTGTTTTTACCTGCATCTCTCTCTCAACCACCTTAACTTGAACATATTAAACCCCTGTTTTATGACAGAGGAGACTGGGCCAGCTGGCACCCTACTTGACTTCTTACAGCTAATTAAGGAACGTCCCATGACAGTTCAGGAGATGCAGTAAGGCACATGTGCAGTCCCCTGGATCTCAAACAAGAATAGCCAGAAAGCTGAGTTAGTGAGCAGCCCAAAATGCCTGGTTTTAGGAGCAGCCTCCACTCCCATAAGGTTGGCCCATGTGGTTCACCCTGCTGGAAGCTTTCTAGCAGTGATACCTCACTGAAAAGCAGAAAAATGGGCTGTATTCAAGAAGTCAAAGCAGAAACTATGAGCAAGTTAAACTAAATTCCAGTCCATTCTTGGACCTTCTTTAAGGTCAGAAAATCTTTTTATTGTGAGCCAGTTTTTGTGTAAGTGACCAAAAGACTTTGAGAGAATGGTCTGGATAGAAACTTTGGTACTCATGTCAGCAATGTATTTTTAGAATGGTAAAAATAATCTCCATGGAAAATAGTGCCTTTACAAGTCTGGATGTAGAAGCCCTTCCTTTGCCCACAGACCAAGCTAAAATTAAACAGTGAACCACATGGCTGTCAGGCCTGTATCAAGCAAAAAAATCTCAAAGCATCACCCAGCTTTGATGGCAACACTTTAATCAGACTAACTTATGTCCCTTATCAGATCCCTGTAACTTTTTTTATGCATTTATTCCTGAGAGCTTCTTATTGGCAGTGGCTTCAGTCTTGGCTGATATAGTGCTTAGAACAAACACAATTTATCCTGACATGATGTTCCCAAATTCTTATCTGAAAAGTTTAATCAAGGCTGATTGGTTTTCATTTTTTCCCCAGCTGACATCTGGATCTTCCCTACTCTTTCGTTATTAACATTTCAGTGTTTCTTTTTCCATCACTGGGAAGTATTTGGTACAGATTTACCAATCAATTCAGAATGGCAACAGCAACAATAAAATGCTTCATAAGCACAACAAGCAGCAGGATAGCGGCTAAATTAAAAGCAAATTTGTATATGCTTGACAAAAACATGAGATTAAAGCTAGCATTTTTGGGGACAGCTTTTTATTGAAGGCAGAGAATCTGACAAAATGAATGCTCTCCAGCCTTAACTCTAAATGTCCCAGATAATTTTAGAGTGACCTCTTAAAGCTTAGTACACAGGTATCCAGGAAGAGGATAAAGGAACTTAAAACTTGACTGCTTCCAATCACCAGATTGATACAAGACTCAAACTGTTAAAGCCAGTCTATTCATTGAAAATAGGAGAGTCATGCACTGCACCCAACTGTCCTTTAAATCACTTACTTACTTAATAATCATTCAGTTCTTGCTCACCAAGAGCTGCCACATGAGGCTGGAGTCTGCTCCACTAATCAGCAACCAGAGTATCAGGTGGATGAGAAAGGCCCAGACACCTCAAGCCTCCCTCTCCTAAATCACCCTGGTTTCTCTGCAGAGCTGATGGAGAAAAGGCACCTTTGCAGGCAGTCTGTGTCCAGGCTCACTCACCACCTCACTCTTGAAGAAGGTTCTTTTCTCCCTTGCCCTAGACAGAGCTGGGGATGACTTGGATTTTCACATGGGAGAAGGTTCTTGGCTCGTTAATAGTTCCAGCAGAGTGACAAATTCCTCTATTGGGAAAATAAAACTTCACGCAGTAGTGGAAAATTCATCACCCATCTCTCAAGAAGTTACAGTGGTCACTGTGTATTCACACATCAGCTGAGCAGCCAAACTTTACCAAGTCAGGGTGTTAAACAGAAAATCCCCCTGCTACTCACACTTTCCCAGTGACCAGTCCTTTATGGAAGTGCTGGTGACAGACATCTGCATAGAATGATTTACCTTTATTTGGCAATAATAATAAAAAGACTTGAGGATTTAAAATATTCCCTGAGGTTGCTGCTGACATTTTCTACCATTTTAGCTGTTATATACAAATAAAAGCATCAGAACTGAGTGAAATGCTTTACCTGGGAACAACACATAACCCTGGGTTCTTGCAGCCTGTAGAATTTGCTGCTACAGGAAAATGTTTCACAGGTACTTAGACACAATCCTCAAATAAGATCCTATGAAGGAAGACAAGTTCTTTGGTTTTGGTCATCTTGCTTTTTTGTTCCATCTTCTCCTCACCTTTTCTAAAGGGGCCAGGGAATCCTTCTGGCCAATTACAGGGGTTCTCCCTGATTCTGAGTTCCTGTTATATGGCCAGACCTGCACTCTCTTCTGTAACACCAGCCCTGTTCTGTAGGTCAAGCTCATTTCAAGAGACAGGACTTTGTTCCTTGTTGGAATTAGCCCATCACAGGAAAAGAAAAAAAAAATTTAGGTCAAACTGTTGGCTTTCTTCATTATTATTTTCTGTGTTGACACCTGGAGGTTACCCAGGACCTTATTTTTTGTTAATAAACAGGTTTTTTTTAACTTTCACCCTAGTATTCATTTCTCTCATTACCAAAAAGGGATTACTGAAGCCCTTCTTTTTAGAGGAAATATTCATTCCAGGGAGTTTTCTCCTGAAATTTGTCTTGAACCCGAGACAAGGGTTAAAAACCTGAGAGGTTCAGGTCCAACGCTAAACCTCATAGCACCCTCTTACACTGACTGATTTCCAAGTTCACAACTGGTCTTTTTCAGAACTCTTCAATCAATAAGTTCTTATTTGAACTTTTATTTTACTGGTATCATGTTAAAATTTTTAAGAGGAGGTTTATTCTGGTCCTTTATCAGTGTGGGAATGACACCTGCCTATAGTGGAGCAAAGTGATCCAAGAACCTCTTTGGATTTCAGCAGAAATACCAAGACAAAGCACTGTTTCCTCCAGAGATTTAACCAATTCAGGGTTAGGAGCATGTTCCAAGCAGACTCTGCAGGGAAATCTTGAGAACTGCTCAAAAATTTATTCAGAGCTATAGAGTTAAAGAGGCTTTTAGACACAGTGTGTAATCTTGTCAGAGCCGATTAGATGAAAACAAAAGTGATGGGAAATCCTCCCTGTTAATGTGCAAAAAGCTCTCGTTAGTGCATTATGACTCACTGGACTTGCACCTCCATTCTTGGTGACTTTGTCACCACAGAGCATTAATTATTCATGTTAAGCCACACTTTTTCTTTGGCAGTAAGAAAGAAGGCATCTTACCAGGGGCTATTTTCAGTCACACTAAATGGGCATTCAGGTCCTTTGACAAGCTGGGGATCACCTCGCTGCTCAAGAGCAGTACTTTTCTTTCCCAACAACTAATACCCAAAGGCAGGATTTCCTTGCCACTGTCCCACTTGCATGAAGAATACAGGAATCCCACACAGAAGCTCTCCTGGGACAGCCTGCCTTGGTGCACAGCAGGGCTGGAGGGATCCAGCCAGGCAGTCTAAGTCCAGAGAAGACTTGAGCATGGGGTGAAACCAGAATCATGTCTGTATGGGGACATGCTTCCTTCCTTTGCCTCCACACCCTGCCCAGATCTGGGGTGGTGTCCAAACAGTTCACACAAGAGGCAAGGTTTGGTTCAAACACAACCTCAGGCTTAAAATCTCATTTAGACCTACCCTTGGGTTCTTCCCCACTGGCTGCTCAGGTATCACCTTTTCCCACTCCCCAAATACTCCAAACATCTCTGTTAAAACAACAAAGATGATGATAAAGATGGACAAGGCCTTGAGGGATTAAATTATTTTAACAGTTGAGTCAGAAAGCATTCCAAATCTCTAACATTTATGTTCATGCCTGTTACATTTCCATAAAAAGCCCATGGATCACATACATCCTTCTTACATATGAAGGCTGAAACTGCTGCCATTTCACAGGCACTGGGGATGGAATTCAACAGACTGTTGCTCTTGGTTCTGTCTTCACCAAATAGTTATAACCAACTCATACAGTCACACACGTGTGTGTGTGTGCCATAAAGGGAAGCTAAACAGGACTTTTCTTTCATTTTTTTTTTCAGCTTATTACCTTGCCCCTCAGGACCTTTAACATATTTTTAGAAAGTATTGAATTCAAGCAAAGAACACAGGAGAAAAGCCTGTCTGTGTGATTTCACCATCCCACCACCACCACCATGGTAGCATTTGACAGCTGATCTGTGTGCAAAGGTTGTTTTTTGGATAACATTCTCCTTTTAAGGTTTATAACACAATGATTTTAAATCACTTCTATGCACACATCCATCTCGTTTAATTCCCAGGGTACTGGTGAGGTTTTAATTTTTTTTTGTTTTTGTGTTTGTTTTTTTGGGGGGGGTTTAATTTTTTTTGGGGGGGATAAAAAGAAAGGGATATAGAGTTTTAAAGAGCTCATCTGATACTACATGTAGGTAGTTAATAATTTTTAACTCTGGAATCTATTGTTCAGAATGCAGGAAATTATTTTTCCACTGCCTCCCCTCAGCAAGAAGGCTAAATATTTTCAGTGAAATAGAATGGATGCAGTACCAGAATAGATCAGCATCAGGGCCAACTTGTTACGTATTTCAGAGGGAGGCAATGGAGACAGAGGGGAAGGTTCTGATCCAAAAAGAGCTCAAGCTCCTGAGCTTTGAAGCAGGTCCTCAAAGAACACACGGGAAGGGAAGATTACAATACTCCTGGTGAAAAGGAAATAATAGAGAGACAAAGAACAGAGAAAGAAACCCGGGCTGGAGGAAGGGCAACCCAATTTATCCTCACCAATTACAACAGGATCTACAAAATAAGACTCCAGCTCTGCAAAGATTTGTCCTTGGGGAATAGAACCTATGAAGACAACAAGGCTGAAGTGTCTCATCTACCACCACATGGACCTGGAAGTCTCTGTGCTGCTCCAGGACCTGGTATCTCCTCCAACACGAAGTGTTGGTGTCCCCAGAGTGTGCCAAAGGACAGTGAGCACATGTCCATGTACAGCTGTGCCTCCTTCTGCAAAATTTCTGCTAAAAAAGGAGCAGACACTGCTGAACATCTATTAAACAGTAGCAAATCTAAGCACAACTGGTCAGAATCAGGACATACAGAGAAGGAATTAGAGGAACTGGGCTAAATTTCCTACTGAGGCACCAAATTTGACCTCAGGAAATTACTCTGCAAGGCTTTGGGTAAATCAGATAACCTTTCCAGCTCTCTGAACATGCCTGAACACAGTTTTTGTATCAATCTAACTGTAAAGAAATCAACAGTGGTAAATTAATGATCCCCATCACACCTGCAGACATATATATTGCATTTTAAAGCATTTCTAGTCTGTTAGTTTGATTTGTTTCAAAACAGAAATGAACGATCTGCTTCATTCACTCTCATTTCGTTTGATGAAGGCAGTGTAAAATCCACCAGCAGGATCTTAGACAGAATAAAACTCCCTTCCCATCAACATAAACAGAAAAAATACAGCTGGACAAGACTACAAGAGGTCACCTAAAATATTCCCTCAGCCCCAAAATGGAATCAGTTCTACCTAAACCATTCCCTCATTGCTCACACACCCAATCTACTTAACTCTGCAACTACAGCCACACTGCCTCCCCTCAGCTGTGCAGCTTCAGTGCCTTTCAAAATGAAGCCTCAGTCTCTGCTGGAATTCTGCTGCTATTAATACTACACTTCCCCTAACAGAACTTATTTTTAAAAAATTACATACAATGTAATGGCTCTGATTTTTTTAAGTTATCAAAGAACAAGCTTTGCTTTTGATAATCTCTATTTCAAGAAATGCTATAATTTCTCTTTAAACAGGATTTATTTTTTCCACATATTCTGTTACTGGTTTGGAATCTCTAAATGTATTTTAGCTCTTTGGAGAAAAAGCTCTGCCTATCCATCCCTTTACTATTAATCTGTTTTTTCTATTAAGACAGCTGAATCTCTCCTCCCTCAAACTTGTCAGCTATACTGATGAGTCATTAATTGACTTTTTTTTCCCTCTCTTTTTGTTTTCTTGGAAACAAGTACAGTAGGCTAAAATCAAGCAAGAAGCCTACTGAAGAATTCAATTAACTTCTGGCTTGTTTGGTAATAAATAGTGCAGTATTGTATTCTGCCACTCTTTATTCTTGCTGTAGTGTCTGGAGATTGCCCAGATGTTTCATCCTCTGGGTTTTTTTGCTGCGGAAGGCTTTTGCCTCCAGGCTGAGCAGTGCTGGCCCTCTGCTCTCCTGCCTCCAGTTAATCTACGTGGCTGTCAGAGCTGTCACAGGAATGGTGAATCACGGCCTCTGCAATCACTTCAGCCCCTGGGGAAGTGCTTGGAGCGAACAGCTGCACAAACCCCCACCCAAACTAAGTTTCTCCTGGATGAGGATTTTACAAATCAACTTTGAAATAATCACAAAGCCTGACTGACAGGCCCGCAGTTTTTAAATAACAGAAATTTGTCAAAAACAAATTGGTTGTCTTTCAAACAGACACCCTGGTTGAGTCTTTTTTTTTTTCCTTCCTCTCTTTCCTTTGCTGACTTTCCTATTTCCAAACAACAACTGGATCCGTTTTCTTCTAAACAAACTTGAATTACAAAGGAATGTTGTTCTGCTATACTTAATAGATTTGCACATTTTTCCCTTTCTTCTTTAGTCTTTCCCAGTATAACATATAATCCTTTGCACCTGCAAAAGCTCCACAGACTGCTGACTGCCAAGAATCCACCACGTGACCCTGCTTCCATGACCAGAGTTCCTGTGTTTAAAGAGAAAGGAAAATAAAAAGTTATTAAATGTTTGAATCTATCTGATCCCCATGCGAGTTAACTCTGAGGATGGGAACTTAAGTGAAAAGCTATTTTTGTGGCATTTTTGAGTGATGTAATAAGTGACTTTTCCCAAGGAACTTGTGTACTTGAACAAGCAGATGGAGTGAGAAAGACGTCTGGAACTGAGGAGGGCTTGAAGCAAATTGCTTTCAGGGAATTCATATGTATGTATTTAAGCCTGTGGCCATGCAACTTTGCAAATATTTTGTGAATTTATTTTCTTTTTGGCAGATAAAACAGCACAAAGCAAAACACTGAGCGGGAGGGCGGCATGCGAGAACCAATATCAGCTCAGCCCCATTGTACAAAAAGCTCCCATTTAAAATGAACAGCTCCCACTTCCACGAGATACAAGTCCTGTTTGTTCCCCTACATTTCTTAAACCAACCCTTTCCCTCACACTCCCCCAAAAAACCCCATCATTAAGAAATTACTCTTATCACTCCCTTTATACCCCAAAGCAGGTGTGTCTCTGTTTTTGACTTGGCGTCTTTAGGGACCACACACCCTCCTCTCCATGGCTCCCACACACCCTGCTCCCATCCATTAACTCACAGCAGCGTTTAAACACACACATTTAAAGCCCCAACAAAAGCAGTGCCTTCCAAAACCACCTCTCACGTCACATCACACAGCCTGACGGGCCTGGGCGGTATCAGCAGCAAAGGCCAGTGTCTGCTGAGAGGGTTTGCCTTGGCAGCTACAGTCACTGTGTCCTCTCCTCCTTCACCCTGCTCCATCACCCCTTTCTCATCTCCTGAAACACTTCACACTGCAAGCTCCTGGAGGAGAGCCTTCTGGTTTATGATGTGAGGATCAGTACTGAGCAAAAAGCAATGGGATCCATGGCCCTTCTGAGGCCCACCACAGAGAAATCGGCAATTTTATTTTATAGCTGTGGCATTCTCCTTCTTTTTAAAATCATATTACTTCTGTACTATAAAATTTTCTTATGAGCAACTGGATAGCAGTGCTAGGCTGAGATTACTGCTCTTGGGCTCCTGGTCTGCAGTACAGCCACTTTCCACCGGAGCAGGAGAACTCTGCTCTCGTTTGCTGACTCTTCATTTAACATGCCGTCCTCGTGACTCGCTTCTTCCAACTTGGCTGGTGGTTATATTTCAGCTGAATGTTTTAAAAATCAAACTGTTCAAGCAACAATGGCCAGCCACAATGTTGTTTGGTACCCTGCCACAGCTAAATAGCTGCAGCTCTGCTGTACGAAAGCACTAAAGGGGTTCCAGCCTCTCTAATGCTAGCCATTCTTTTCCTGGTGTTTTCAGTATGGGCTCCTATTCTGCCGTCACCCACAGCAGAAACTCATTTTCATCTCATAAATAAATAAACAGAGATTCATAATTCTTCAAAACCATAATATGTTTTTCTGGAATAACTTAAACTCTTCGGACACACAGCTCTCTTGCAAGTCAGTCCTGATGGAAGAAGGACACACTCCCTTAGAAAAACTACCTTCCAGAGTGTCTGGGTGCTGTCAAAGCATAAATCCCACCTTCAGCACCCATCTGCAAAACACTTTGGGTGCTTAAGAAACTTTGAATTGAAAGTCAGGGTTTAAAAACTGAGCTGCCAGAGACACAACTTTCTTTTGATAAAAACAGAATTACTGTATTTTTTAATTAAATGTTCTCCAAACATCTGTACATCTACAGCTAAACCTGAGAACTCAGAACAGTTACTGCTGCCATGTAAAAATGCGCTGTGGAAGAGCTGCTGGAGGACTAAGGAAAAGCAGCCCATTAATACAGATGTTCATGGCTTAGCCAGAAGCACAGCCTATTCTCAGTCATGATGGGGTTTTATGTTAATGTCATTGTCCGAAGAAGAAGGAAAAGGTCATTCTGATTTCTTGGCATGTAGCTCTAAAATCTAGTTTCTGATAAAGCCTGGCTGCCCAGTGCAGCTCTGCACAAAGATCCTCTGCCAAGCAAGGCACACGGTGATGAATTCCCATCCATTAGGCCTGCAAATTGACAACAGGTATTTGCAACAGTCATGCAATACGGAAAATGGTTTAAAAGGGTGGAGCCAGGAACAGTTCAATTAAATTAGGGAAAAGAAGAATTGAGGCTGGAGAACAGGAAGCAAATTCCCCAACAGTGAGGTTTACTGAACCGTGGAGCCAGCCTCCCCAGGGAGGAGAGGAAAGCCCTCTCCTTTGAGTCATTTAAAAATAGATTGGAGAAGGCACTCAAGACTGTACTGTGGGGAATAATCCTGCGCTGGCAAGGGCAGGATGGGATGACTTCATGTGTTTCTTTACGTCTCCAATTTCGGTGATTCACCCAGAGCTCCAAACCTGAACATGCAGAAGAGCAAGAGGGAAGCAGGGCACGAGGACACGATCCTGGAGGAAGCCAAGGGGAACAAGTGTCACAGGGCCAAGAGGACCAGCAGGACTCTGGTCCAAATTCTCTCTAACCACACGATGCTGTGGGCCAGGATGACGTGCTAGAGGTCACACATGTTTTCTCTCATAGTCCATGGACCAACTAATTGACAGGGCTTTGTGCTAAATCAGGCCTGTAAGTTCTTCAAAGACACTCACCCTCTGAGCAGGTTTTAATACCATTAAGACAGGGCAAAGCACAGAAGCTGTTGGGGGTTTGTGGATTACTACAAAACCAGGGCCTTGTTCCTGGAAAGAAACATAGGATCCATATACATATCTCCCCAAAACACTGACTTTGAACAAAACTGCTGAGATACAGTGCTTAAAGCACACTGCCATCCTAGATGCTGCACAGAAGCAGAAAAGCCTTCCACTTGGGGGGGATAATGGCAAGAGCTCAGAGCCCAAGGTGCACAGCTCAGAGGCTCCAAAAAAGGACAGAAGTGCCCATATGATGCCTGCAGAAGCCCCAGTGACCCTGCCCTCTCTCCACATGCTCCTGCAACATGACACACAACCTGGGAATTACGAGCAACACGACTGCAGCAGTTGGCTAAGCCTGGGTCCCCCACCACCATCACCAAAAAGGCTTCTACCTGCTCACACTGTGCTCCAGCAGCAGAAGGCTGCAGGGGATAACCTGACTTTTCCAGGGCAATACCCATTCCCACTAGCACTCACAGCCTAGGAAAGCAAAATGACAAGGAGCACATAACATGAAAGCGGCCGCCATGCCAAGCCTGTGTCATGTGTATTCTATTAAGCTGAAGGCTGAATAGAAGACTTTGTTTTCCACTTCAAAGGACCCCATCCCAATCTCTCTCTCTCTTCCCTTATGAATAACAAATTGGAAATAAATCTTCTGGCTGAAGTGCATGGAAACTCATACAGTTGGGGCCCTCTGCAGCTTCCCAGCTCAATCACATGGTAGTTTTTTTTGTAAACACTTTTCTGTGATATATATGTAAATCTCACTGTGCATTGCTGCACCATGTAAAGCAATACAGCGGGTGTGGCCTCAGGGGATGGGACACAGCGGGAAGCCTGGCTGCATATTTCCAATTATTCACAGGGATAATGTTCACAGAGAAGGGTCAAGTTTTATATGTGGACAGAGCCCTACTTTTCTTCCTAGCGATCCCATTTCATCCTGCTCCATAGGCCAGTGTCCTCTAATTCTCACCACAAACGTTATTTAGCTCTTTTGATACTGAGAAAACAAGGACATCCCATTTTGTTGGGCAGAGGGAGCGTTGGAAAAGTCACTCTCAAGATATACCAAAGGCCCTTCAACCTAAAAACAAACAGAAAAGGAAAATATTACCTCTGCTTTTAAATACTGGGGGGAAGTATTTGGTGCCCACAAATATGGACTCCTCAGTGGTGAGGACACCTGGCCTCCAGATGGCAAATGACCTTTGACCAGTGCACACAACTCCTACCTGTGCATGCCTGTCACTTCTGCCACACATTCATGGTAAAAGTTTGTGGCAAAAATCAGCTGTCAGCTTTGTGTTCTCAACACAGCCAGGTCATGGTCTGTTTTCAGGACATGTAAAATTTGGTAATCCAGGAAAACACAACACTCACACATCTCTCAAACCTGATGACCAGCCCAACACCACCAATGCTGCAGGAAGCATTGCAGAGAATATGACATCTCTGTCTTGGCCTTGCTATTCTTCAAGCCAGCAGAACTCATGGCATACACTACACTTGAGGCCTGCAGCTGAATAAATATTACAATTCACTCCAATGATAAGCATCTATAGTATCTCTGTGTACCCCTCTGTTCACAACAGTGTTCAGCTTCATGATAACGGGGGAGAAAAAGTCAGTACAAATGAATCACATGGATCTGTGTGCATGTGTGGTCCTGCAGACTGAGGAAAGAAAAGCAATTTTCATGTTTGCCTTTCCTACTGGGGATTTTACTCACAACGTGGCATTCTGCACGGCTGACCCTTACAGATGCATGGCACATTAGCTACAGGAGAAGCAAAAAATTCACAAGTTGATTGCAGTTTCTATACATAAAGTCAACATGGAGCAAAGAGCCAAACACCCTCCTCAGTGGATTTTTATGTGCATATGTGCAGCATATGGGCAAGTACATGTGTATATTATCTTGCAGGAAACATGCAAGCCCAAACATGGGAAAAATTCAATGATCTAAGTACACTGTTGATATAAATGCTGAGACTCCATTTGCACTAATGGAGTTGTGCTCACTTATGCCAGTAGTGAATTCAGTCCTAGAATTAAACCCACCCAAATCCTAGATAAATTGAAAGAGAACAAAAGTTGGCCTATATGCAAGAGCATATTTTTCATGTTAAAAGCATTTCATTCCCTTTTTCTGCCCATATAATACTGCATTGATGTCTGTGACCCATTTGGATGTAAATCAAAATGGATGTGCTAAAAGCCTGGTTAAAGGAAATGTTCTTCGAAATAGTGTTCCCATGGTAAGGCAGAACAGCTACACTCAGTTTCCATGGCACAAAGGGACATATA